ACCACTGCTGTGAAGGATAAAATGATCAGCACATGCATCGAACAATAAGAGCTTTCAGTTGTTTTACTGTTTATAATACCTGCTACTGTTAAGTTAAATGTCAGAGAGCAGACCTTGTGGAAATGGCATGTCGTCAGTGATTCAAGGCTCACTTATATTTGACCCATCTGAATGGGTCTGACCTGAAGCATGCATTATAGTGTAATCATACATTAGAGTACAAGGTGCCTTAGCGGGAATAGTTCTCCGTGCGAGCGATTTAAACAGCACAAAGAGTTAGCGCTTACAGTAGTCTCCATGCCGACAGCCGGAGGAGCTGACTTCAAGTCCTTCATTTACCCTCTGTTCCCCTTGTGAGCCTCTTTCACATATGCTCAGCACTTTCTGGGGAGGGCCCGTCGGACCACAGCTCTGCCGTCCTCCAAAAGAGCTGACAAACAGACAAGAAGCACTGAATTACGGGGATTCAATCACAATCAAAATAAAGGTTTATTTCCATTAGCTTACAGAAATTACACAATTTTATCGGAAGAAGACTGCTAAGTAATAGGTGAAAACATCCATTCATTATCGACAAATTATCCTGTTAAAGGTCAAAAGGAAGCTAAAGTGTATCCAGCCTGATTTATGGCTACGTGCTGCATTCATCACTAGTCAATCACAGGACAGACACACAAGCAGTTTACACTCCCACCATTTTTTTTTCTTCCCCAACTCAGTCAGCCTCAGAGACATAACAGAGATTAAAACTGCCAGGCTCTGCCAGAGTGTGATGTTGTAATACCCAAGACTCACTGCCTGCTTCTTTGTATTGGAAGCAATTGTCGCTGTTGCATCGGCTTCGCCACACATCTAATTATTATCTTAATGTAGCAAGTCACAACTGCTGAGTGAATGCACACTTGCTACACAGCAAGGTCTGTCTGAAAGACACGGCTGACTAAATTCTCTTATGCACCAATATATTAGTGGACTATAGGACCAGATATATTGCACTTCTGTCCAAATGGAGGCTTCAGCGAGCCTATGGCCTGGCACACACACACACACACACACACACACACACACACACACACACACACACACACACACACACACACACACACACACACACACACAGAGTTTTCAATTTTTCAATTTGATGTCCTTGGTAAAGGGCAAAATCTGTACCAAAGCAGCCCTATAGTCTTTCTGTATAGTATGTAACTGGCCTATCATAGAGGCGACAGACATGCTTATCACACCACTGTTCTGGAACAGACAGGAAGCAAACAACAACCTTAAGATAGGAGAGTAATGTTAAGATATGATTCCTCTCTGTTAGCTGGATTTGAATGAAACAATGTAGAATGCTGTTGAAGGTATTTCCTGCTTACTGTGATTACAATCACCTTTGGTAACCCCTCACCCCCACTACTTTTATGACCCCTCCAGAGGACATGTCAACATCAAAAGAGGAACTGTTATCTCAAGTATCTGTGTTGCAGCTATTGAGGGACTGCGCTTTGCTATGAGTACTATTGATGTCAGTCTCTTTCCTGAACATTTGTTTGCACACTTAAAACAACATATGTGGTGTTAAAGTTTATCTTCTTCCTCCTTGGTTGATTAACGGCCCCCCAAGTGTCTCTTCTGTTGTTCCCCCGCACCTTGGGTCGGTCCCTGATCGCTGTTAGGCCCCCCTTGGAAGACCTCTTATCTCAGGATGTATACACAGCGGGGGTTCTGGAACTTGCCATCACACCAAATGGTGGGTAGTGGTCGTTTGGTCTCACCTCACCACTCCCACCTTCTTCCAGCCACACCGGGTCAGATGTCATGTTACTTTCTTTGTTTCCGGGATTTGCATGAGAGGCGTAACTAACCGCCTCTCATTATCATATTGTCTCTATATAATCTCATGAATGTGTTTCTTCTACGCTTCCTGATTCAAATCTGGACCCCTCAGGAGCCCGAATCGATTCGTAAACTGCAGAAAATAAATTAAAACCCTTCGAAGTAACTGTACATCGCCTCCAGCCTTTATTTGGATTACCAACATTCTCCTCGTCCGAAATTCAACGAACACGCGGGAAAGAGGAGGCCGCTCTTCCCACAACAGTATCCAACGCATAGAGATATACTTGCTCCTTCTTGGCTCCGTAACATCATCAAAAGGCGAGCCTGGATTGCTATTAGCTGCCGCGGGCGGTATGTGCTCGCACAGGATTCTGGTCTATGAAAAAGCTATTAGGGCGGAATGTAAACCGTATGGATGTCGCAACAATGTGGGGCTGCGTTTTAAAAAGTTGATTCATCGAATTCAGTCGATTTTCGTTTTCATAAAACCATAAATGAACGTCACATCCATTTCTAAGATGGTGCTCTGCATTAAAATTAACCTGGGGAATTGCAAGCGTGCTGTTTTGGCGAATACAAGACCAAACACAAATATGGGAACGCCAGATATTTATCAGCCTTTACAATATTGCCCTTTCAGCATCAATACCTCGATTTGGGCTGGCGGAGGTACACTCTAACCCAAAATCAGGGATTTTAATTAAAAATGTGATGGATGTATAAGTGTCTTAGTCCTTTTCCATAAACCTCTTTAACAACTGCATGTGTCTAAAATGTTAAGAACAGATCATAAATTCCTATTCGTGTCATAGCACTGCCCTCTGGTGGTGAAACGTATGTATTTATTTATTTATTCGTTTTGCTTTTTCCTGGTACTATGAGTTCACATTTTTGACTCGGCATCTGGGCACACGGTGGAGATTTGAATAGTACTGCATGTCCACCTCACAGACAAGAGGTCGCGCTGTCAACTCTCTGCTCGACCATCCTGTGTTTCATCTGCAGGTTCTGCCCACATTCCAATACTATGTGTTACATGAACAAAGGACATGAAATTGTTTTGAAAGGTTGTTTGTCTAGAAGTGCCCTGTATGTGGCTGGTGACCAGTTCTGGGTTTACCTCAGCTCTCAGAGGAAATCAGATGGGCTACGCTTCAGCTCACCCGTGAACCTTTTGAGGACAATCTCTATCGAAAATGGGTTGTCGTGAAATGAAAATGGACGTGCATTATGAGCAAACTCATTTTCCCTATTTTGTATTCATTTCCTGTTTTTGTTTTCAGATATGGTTCCACTAACTGGCTCCCTGAAGCGTCCAGTGTCCCTGCAACCCTTGTCCAGTCATCTACGAGTCTTAAAAAGCCCCCTCAGCTCCGGCCTGAACCCAGAGGGCATCTATGTTTGAGGCTCCACTGCACACCTGTGCTGTTGGGAACTATAGCACATTGGCTCATTTCTCCTCAGAGCGTTTTCAATTGGATGTCTTGTACAGGATACTTCAATAACACAAATCGTACAATAAGGCAATCTTTTGCTAAGGAAAAACGCTCAACTCTGATGCGAAGGATTTGTTGGCACAACCCATGGTCTTGTGTGAAGCATACACTGAGAACCATTTCTAAATATGGATCAGGCTGCAATGGACGTCTTTTCAAAACACAACCATGTACTGTCATTTCAATCACTCTAGTGACTGCTGAATGCTTTCGACTGGTTTCATGCTGGTACTATAATTCCAAACAATGGCCTTTTTAGAATGAATGTGAATCCGTGAATTATATCAATTTAGTAGTTATGCAATGAACATTTCCTCCGCCTGATGTCTGATTGACTTCAATTATGACGGATATAAGAAACCTATTAATTATAATTTAGTTTACTATCACTTGTCAAGACTATGCATTAATAGGTTCCTTTCCTTCAGCTTGTCACTTGATGCGTTCCCTCTACGATAAATGCAGTGCCCTTATTCCTGCTGTTATATCGACTCCATGAAATCAAGTCAATTTCCCTCTGAAATGTTTTATTGTTTTTTTTGGGGGGGTGGGGGCGGTGGGTTTTCTGCTTTGTGGCCAAAGATGAATAGCTCTGAGCGCATGATTGTGATGTTTTTATAGCCATATACGTGCAGAGAACCAACAGTACAGTGAATCACTTGTGGCATGCTATAGCTCTTTAATGTACAATAGGTGTTTATGTTAGATTGTATCTCAGCTGCTAACAACAGCAAAGTGCCTTAATGTCTTCGTTGGGCAGTGAATGATGATGAATATGAAGCTATCGTGGCGATATTGAAGAGATAAGTCTGTAATTTGGGCAGATAGCGTAGTGCCACGTTGCTGCACTGATAGCATAGCAACAAGGAAAATTATTCTTGTTTATCGAGAATGGGTGAGAGTGGATGTGACTGAAAGTTCTTTTCCACATTGTGACTGTGTTGTTCCCATTTGTTGTAAAATAGTCAGTATTCCGATTCAACAGATTGAAGACATTCTTTACGCTTTATTTCGACGGTTACTGTAATCTTGGTGATGTTTGCAGTCTTAGCCTCTGTCACTTTGGACAAATCCCACACGGAACATTATAGCCAATGTATAACTTACATTTCTTTTTAAATAACATACTTATTTTTAAATTGAACTTTTTTATATGAAGGGATCAACTTATAAATAAGGGTGGATTTCCACTTCAAGGAACCTAATTGTGTGTGTTTCTGTGATGGAATGTAGCTGTGATCACTGTTTACAATGCTCTTGAGATTGGCAAGATGTCAGCTGTACCAACTTTTTTTTTTTTTTTTTAAGTATTATTACACCTTGACAGATATACAGTTGTAATGGCTGATTAGATGATAATCGCATGATTCAATAAAGCCGTATGAGAGAAGTTAAGGTTCTGGGAATATGTGTGCTGTTCATTTAAAGTGTGTTTCATGATTATGCCAGTAGATGGAGATATTCACTTAGGAGAGACCCACATGTGCCTCTGACGAGAATAAAGATAAACAAGTGTGTGTGCATCTCTCTCTCTCTCTCTCTCTCTCTCTCTCTCTCTCTCTCTCTCTCTCTCTCTATATATATATAGTGCCCCAGTGGTTAGCAAGTTGACCTCACAGTGCAGAGGTTGTGGGGTCAATCCCGGCTCCAACCTTTCTGTGTGGAGTTTGCATGTTCTCCCCGGGCCTGCGTGGGTTTTCTCCGGGTACTCCGCTTTCCTCCCACATTCCAAAAAACATGTAACATGAAGACTCTAAATTGTCCCTAGAGTGAGTGTGAGCGCGGATGGTTGTTTGTCTCTGTGTGCCCTGCGATTGGCTGGCAACCGGTTCAGGGTGTCCCCCGCCTACTACCCGAAGACAGCTGGGATAGGCTCCAGCATCCACAGCGACCCTTGTGAGGATAAAGTGGATCGGAAAATGGATGGACACACGCGTGTCATTGTTGAAGGTAAAACGCAAGTTTAAATGACTTTAAAAGCCCAATACCCCAATTTAGCAGTAATTGAACTTCTTTGTTGTCAAAACCACTAGATCACACAAAAACAATCATTGTCAGAATCACAATCATCTAGTTATTCATCGAATTGCAAATGATGATACTGTAAGCAAGTGTGTGGATCCCCGCTGGGCTGGGCCCATTGTTTTTCATCTGCGGTCATCTCTCTTATCATCCTTCTGTCACATGACATGAGTTCAAAGCCAAGGCTTACTGCTTACTGTACATTCCTCAGGCATGACCTGTCGTCTTGAGTGGAGCTGCTTGACTTCATTTCATTATTCAACATGTCTGTCGAGGTCTGTGCCAACTTTTAAATTGCATTCAGGATTTTGGGCTTCGCACACCCTGTAAAATCACCTTCATGATCACCACACATTCTGTGTTTAATGAGAAAAATGTACCACATTTAGATGTTTATTTTTCAATTTATCAGCAATAATTTATAACAGCATAACGTGTAAAGCAACAAAATGTGCAACAACTGATCGGGATTTTTTTTTCATCCAAAAAAAAAAAAATCCATCGATTTCTACAACGTTGACAGACATGTTATAGTACATTCACCAAAAAATATTTACAGACATACATGCCACTTTCTATAACAGTTGATGACCAATTTGAGGCTATACCAGCTGAAGAAAACTACAAAAGCAACATCATGTTTGGAAAATACAAAGTAAATCATGGGTAGTCAATCAAATGTGAAAGGTTTTTTTTTTTTTTTTTAAAGCTTAACATCACTGAAGTTGCAGGAATTGATCTCAAATGACAGTCATGTGAACACAGCTGTTGTGGATTTTTTTTTTCATTTTTCATTTTACATAATGTAGTATAACATAAGTAGTGGGAGCTCTGAAAGCTGCTTCCGATCCAAACGATTACAAACGGATAATTGCTAAATTGGGCGGATGACAGAATTCTCACTCCATTGCTTGAAGTCATTGCGAATGTGACAGCTGATCCTGGTTTGACTTGAAATCACGCGTTTGATTCAAGGCAACAATACATCAACAACACAAAAGGTCAATTACAGTGATTGGCTTTTCATGGAACGCATGACTTTTTTGGGTTGGTGGGGGTGTCAGTAAAAGCAGAAAAAAAGTGCACTTCACATCTCAGAGAGGAACACTCTTCCTACATACAAACGTTAACAGCTTGGAAAATACAGGTACATTCAATACCGAAGATCTATAAGGTGCTATCCTACATTGCTTCCTGGAGATAAGGGCCTCTGCATTTCAATACAGAAATGCCTCACTTGGGGGGCCGACAATACCCTGGCTATGCAGCCTATTGTGGAGGAAAGGCTTCTCCAATAACTCAGTTAAGGACTTGGATGAGCCTACACATGACTGACTTTGGATCAAATATAACGGTTCTTCATTTTGATTGATTTTAGATGGTGATTTTCGTGTGTGTGATAATTCTTGTGTTTCAAAAAGAACTGTGATATCTCTCCAAGTACCCCATGCAAAAAGATGGGGGTGAGGTATTGTGGCCATCTAGGCCAACTAGTGCACATTTACATCGTGATTAACCCGACTATTATCCGGGTTTGAATATTTACAGTCCAAGCAGACACAGCGAGATGTTCCAAACCTTGGCAGACGTCTTTGTGACGTCTTACATCCAAGGAGACTCGCTGATTGGGAAACTGCGCATTTGCACTTGTAGTACTCAAAATGTGGCATCAACGCTGCCATTTGAGAATACTTTATCAAAGCGAATACAAAACAAACTGCAGTGCAACACAACAGTTTTGCTGCGTTTATGCCAATCATCGTCGATGAGCATTCAGATGAATGAATCTAGCATAAGTGCAAAAGGCACACGCTGTCAGAAGTGTTCCGTCAAGGTGGCTAGCTATAATACACAAAAATCTCCTCCGTGGACCTATATCATTGACATTTGTCCACATCCTCAGAAATTGCCATTACCTCACAAATTGTGTGAATGCTGAGAGATGTAACGGAGGACTAACAGCTTCTTAATGTATCACAGTGTAACATTCATTCTGTGCAAGCACACCTCCTAAGGAATGATATCAGAGCAATATGACTGGACATTAAGACCAGCCGCACGCCAAGCCATGCGGCAGAACGCAACTGAACTGGACATCCGTGAAGAAAAATACAGTCGGCGACACAACTGCACACCAGGCGCTTGACCCTCGCGCACATAACTGGCTTGTTGTCCCTACAATAGGACAACGGTGCCCCGGGTGTTCTTTTTGAGAAATATTTTGAGGTGCCACAGATACTCAGGCATTTTTTTTTTTTTAACCACAAATAACGGGCCTATTGTCAAGGAGGAAACGGATTACGCTAGCTGTTGGAGCTGAATTATGACATTAGTGTGGATATTTGCAAAGTTCTTGGCCACATTCATTGATTGCACGCATGTAGTTCACCACATTTTGCTTTTTAGCCACAGGCACATTTGCAAATATCAATATCAAATGGTATTATTGTAAAACCCCAATTTACATAGCTTGTGTAAACACGATTGGTACGGCTTGCTTCACAATCTGCAATGTTAATTTTGTTAACGAAAGCTTGTGATATGATGTGGCATTTTTGATTTTGCATTACATGTGTGACATTAAAAATCTGAATCTTGTTACAGAACGAAACACCGTTACCTGTGTGTGTTCAGCCATGTCAATCGTTGTAAAGCTGACCAGTAAGCGTGATGATCTTTGTTGCCTCATCAAAAAAGTTCCAGTACATGGGGAAAAAAACAATTGCGAATTCATTCAGAAAGAGTGCCACATTCAGTGGCTAGATGACAATAATAATAATAATAATAATGAATCATTTTCATTAGGGTTGCAAGTGTGCTAGAGGACGTGTCAGTTAACTTTGGGCAAGAGGCGGGGTACGCCCTGGACGAGTCGCAAGGCAGTCACAGGACCCAAATAGACAGACAATCTTACATTCACATAGCCAGTGAACCCCTGCTTGTTGGTGATTTGCGATTCACATGATCATCACTTGGCATTTTGTGGAACCTAATCTTAGCTACCTGTGGAGGCAGAAAAAAAAAAATTAAAACATGCCTATTTGCATATTTGGTGCTCTTCGTACACAACCACAAGATAGCACCAAAGCCTACTCCAGTGAGCCAGACTCAATGGAGTAGTAAAGCGCTCTCACAGAAGTATTGGTGAAGTGACAAATCTTAACTCCTGGAGCAGCTTGTTTTTAGTCTGGTTTGTTTTTTTAGGATGATTTTAAAGTGTTTTGGGAGCATACAGTATTACATTTTACGCTTACATTACATTACAGGCTTGGCCCACCAGGGGTTTTATTGTATGGACAATGCAGTGTTAGATGAACCGAATATGCATGGTTATGCAACGTGGGAGAAGGCCGCAGTATCGGAAGAGCATGCAAACTGCAATAATAATAATAATAATAATAATAATAATAATAATAATAATAATAAAATTAGGGGTGCTTGACTCTCAGCATTCACACAACAAACGCATCGAATAAGAGAGTGCATGGCCTCCAGGATGACCCGACCCGGACAAGTTAGCTTTGACAGACGGGCAACTGGTCACACGGCCGGTGAATCCCACTCTCCTCGTCATCGTCACCTTCGTCACTCGTGGGAGTCTCCTCACGTTCATCAGGTGAGCTCATCTCGCCATCGTGAGGGTCGACGTCGTCTGCGATTTGGGGGTCCTTGCACGGAGACGAAGCGCCTAAGTGTGCAGACAGGCCTGGGAAGGCCGCAGCGGCCACAGCTGCAGATGCTTGGGCGGGGTACAGCCAAGGGAAAGGGGAGGCCAGGGCCGCCGCCGGGTACATGCTCTTTTCCATGTTGCTTTTATCGAAAAGAGGCATGTACGAGGCAGCCGCTGATGGGTTGATGAAGTAGAAAGGCATGCAAATTGGCGTCTGCTGTCCCACTCCGGTTAATCCCATCAGAGAGTTCATGAACGCCACATCGGCGGCCCCAGAGCCATTACCGGACCAGTTCATCTTTGGCTTCTTGGCCGGGCGATCGTCTCCAAACTCCTGCTTGATTTTCACACCTTTGGCCGCTTGCAAGGTGTTGCTGTGCTCACACTCTTTGTCCTTGCCCCCCTCACCCCCGTAGCCACTGTCCGTGTCCGTGTCATTCTCGGTCAGATCCCCGCCTTGGGTCCTCTGGATTACTGGGACGCAGTTGGCCTGGTTGTCAGCTTTAAGACCGTCTGGTGAGACGCCGGTGGGGAGCTGCTGCTGCTGGGGGAGAAGTGAGCCGGACTGGACCCGAGCCAGGACCTTGTGAAGGTGCTGGACCAGCTGGGTGCCGCTTTGCTCTTGCGCTGTCCAGTTCTCAAACTGGCTCAGGTATTGCAGAACTTCTTTGACACATGTTTGGAAACCAGAATGGAACGCTTCTGCATTGGTGTGAATGGACGACTTCATCGACCTGTCCCCTGTTGAAAGAATAAGAATCATGTTTAACACTCATGCCCCTTCATTTTCTTTGCATACACGGTATATTCCTGCCAAGAATATCTTGTAGATTCTCTACAACTGTTTTGAAAGTGAATTCCTGGATGAATAATCCTTAATAAATCAGAGATTAAAGTGGACTTTCCTGAAAATACAAATGCGAGCTATATATATATACATACATACATATATATATATACATACATATATATATACATATATATATACATACATATATATATATACACACATATATATGTGATTTTAACTGACTTACCAGGTTTGTCGACCTTTCTAATGTAGTCGGACAAAAAAATCTCCGTTCAAGTCCTTTTCCTCAAGTCATGACTACTTGAACGTGTTCCTAACACTCGCGTCTATTGCACATAAGTCAGCTTGCCTTTCAACATGTTTGAACATTGCGCTGGGGCAGTACCTGGCCGATCACGCATGAATTAGTTTACACAAAACGCTATTCAAATACTGGACATTCAAATGATTAATCTGCCTTTTGTGTGCACACGTGCACCCTTTGTGGCTTCCGTTCTCGCCGAAATTTCGAAATCTCCGAGATATGGCGAGGCCATGAGAATGCGAGGGGAGGGGTGTTACAGTTACTCGTGTTAGTGCCTCAACATGGCTACGCTCGTGAAAGCAAAACAATGAACTCAAATGCGTGTTCATTCAATGTTGTCAACGAATATCCGGATAAATTTTAGGCAATTTTTCCTCAATTTTCCAGAGGAATTTTCATGAAAATTTGAAAATCCGGAATTCCGGGAAAATCTGGAGGACTTTCATCACTAATTATTGTTTTTCAAAAATGGCAAAGTAATATTTAAGCACCACTTATTTGTAGATACAAAAAAAGTTAACATCTAATTTCAAACCAAAATTTCGATCTTTCCCTTTCAATGTGGGCCAGACAATCAACCAACACATCCTCAAAGAGATCCTGCAGCGTTTGCTTTGTTCAGTGCACAAGAAGAGGCAAGAGTTGACATGACAACGCTCCTGCTCACAATGCCCTGAGCGTTCAAGCTCAAGGGGGTCATCCAAGTGACCACTTTTGAAGACATGGACGACATCATGGTGGCTATGAATAATCCTTCCACAAATGATTCCCCCCATGACCCTTCAAAGACCATCAAGTGCATGTTTCTATACACTGCAAGAAAAGTCCATCAATCCATTTTCCAATCCGCTTATCCTCACATGGGTCGCAGGCGTGCTAGAACCCATCCCAGCTGTCTTCGGGCAGTAGGCGGGGTTCCAATAGCCTGCCATGCATGTTTTTGGAATGTGGGAGTTAAACCGGAGTACCCGGAGAAAACCCACACAGACACGGAGAGAACATGCAAACTCCACACAGGAAGGCCGGAGCCGGAATCGAACCCTGCACCTCTGTACTGTGAGGCCGACGTGCTAACCAGTCGCCCACCGTGCCACCAAAAGAAAAAATCCTTTGAATTTATTTAATTTGTACATGTACCGGTACATTGGTTGCACGTGATTACAATGTGTTAAATTAACATGATCCATCTGCCATCTGAACCGCTTATTCTCAATAGGGTTGTGAGCACGCTGGAGCCTCTCCTATATATCATCCATTATTCTTAAGATTACATCAGTTTACTACATTTTAATCATGTGCAACCAATGTACACGATCAAATTAAGTACTTTTCTTTCATTGCAGAAAGCTGAGAGATGTGGGGTACACAGACAGTTCCCAGTAGGACTGTTTCAAGCTCCCTTTTGAACACTGCCAACTGTCCCATAAAATGTATGACAAGTACAGTTTCGCATTTTCTATTTTAACACCACTGCCAACATTTTTCTCCATGCACCAGTAAATCTTGTTTTAGTGGCTAAGGGTCACATGGACCTAGAACAAAATCAGTGTACATTAACTTTGTAGCACCTGTACAAAAGAATGACATTTTAAAAAATATATCATTTTGGGCATTTTTGTGTTTCGGAAAAGTCACAGAATTTCAGGGATTTTTAAAATCTATTTATTTTTATTTTTATTTTTTGTCACATTTCAAAACGAGTCCAATTTGTCCTGAAATTGTAGGAATTACAACAAGATCAGGACGCAATCATGAAGGTAAAGTTTGATACGAAGTGCAACTTAAAACAAAAGATATAAAAAACTAAAGACGGCACGTGATCGACAACTGTCAGCGCACGTGCGTGTCTGCCGCACTCGGAAGCGCGCCCGTGCGTGCAAGTGATATTTGTTTTTTTCCACTATGCGTGCGCTTTCACCACACCTACGTCAATATCGATACGGTTTAATGAAGCTTGTTGATCTTACCGTTCTGGAGAGCAATGATCTTCTGGTGCTGCTGCTCCGTCACCGCAGTCAATGCGTTTAAATGTTTCAGAGTTAATTCCAGAACAACTGCCTTCTCCAAATGACCCAGCGTCTGCGTGGACACAAAACGCAAGTCTGATTGTTTAAAAAATATCCTTCCACGCATCCGAAACTTTTTAGCATCCTTTTTCTTTTCAATATCGTGATCTTACCGACAGCTTTAAATGCTCCGGCAGCAGATCCTTCAGCTGACCGATACATTCATTGATTCGGTCTCTCCTCTTCTTCTCTATCAAACGGTGTGGTAATTTATAAGCGTCCTGTGGACAACAGAAAATGCGATACGTGCGTTTCAAAGTTACGTAATGGCGATTACAACAAAAGTAAACAATGAAGTAAAACGTTCGGAAATGTTTCTAATTCCACACCTTGCCGCCATCCTCCCGCTTTAGTCCCCTTTTGGGTTTGCACATGTACAGAGAGGGGTAGTCTACCCTAAAGTACAAGTGGGAAGAGTGTCCGGTAAAACATTGGGTTTTGTTGTTTTTTTTTTTCTTAAGTCTTCGCGAAAGAGTTTAAAACAAGCTCACCCCAAAAAGTCTGCGCGCTCCATGAAGTGTCTTTCCTGTAAATGCGCTATTCTTTCATCCATCAGATGTCTCCTGCAGCTTTCCTTGGCACAAATGTTTGTTATTCCACGAGGCGCGCGGCTGATGGTGGACACGGTGTGCGTGTCCTCTGCTTAGAGCTGTGCCGCCTCACACTGATACCTCCACTTCCCCCTCCGCGGCTGATGTGTCTCTCCGCCCCAGCTAACCCCCCCAGCACCGACTCACCCAACCCCTCCCTCCACGCCGCGGCCACTTCGCAAAGCCGCCTGCCGCCGTGGCCTGCAAGGGCGCACGCGCGACTCAGCGAGGGAAGGGAACGGCTTCCACTCACGTGTACTCCCACGGCACAAAGTCCGCTGAAACCTGCCCGGTGAGAGAGAGAGAGAGAGAGAGAGAGAGAGAGAGAGAGAGAGAGAAGAGAGAGAGAGAGAGAGAGAGAGAGAGAGAGAGAGAGAGAGAGAGAGACACAGAGAGAGAGAGAGTGTGTGTGTGTGTGTGTGTGTGTGTGTGTGTGTGTGTGTGTGTGTGTGGACTACAGCCACAGCCAGTGAGCAAACAGCCAGGGCCTAAAAATCATTTTGAGACTGTATTCATCTAAACAAGCACATACTTGATGAGAGTTTCAAATGAAATCAATTAAGACGCCGTTGGGTCACATATACTTTAAACATTACATCTCCTCCACTTAGTTGTGGATTTGGAAAAACAACCACTATAGGGAAATGACTTGTTGACACACTGTTTTTTTTCTGTTGAATGCACTTATGAACACTGTGGAAGTACTGATTGGACTTCTTTATTTATGGCCGCTTTATTTACTCACAACGTTCAGAGAATACCTGTTTTGATAACTTGGCTATAAAACCAAGAGCCACCATAGGCTCAGTCTTTTATGCTATCTATCAAAATGTGTTGCTACAACCTTGCTGAAAAAAAAACCAAAATTAATTTATTTGAAACGGCAGAACTTGTGGGTTTTTGGCTAGCATCAGATAACACAATCACCAAAAATCATTCTTGGAAAAGACGTCACACAATTCATGAATGGGAATAGTATCTTGCTTCTCTGAATCTTTGGTGGTATTGTCGTTAATTCTCCTTGGTTAAAGGGACCATGAATTGGGCTGAACTTGTCACTTTTGGAAAAATGATGTAGGCATCCATCCATCCATCCATCCATTCATCCATCCATCCACTTTCTGACCTGCTTATCCTCACAAGGGTTGCGGGTGTGCTGGAGCCAGTCTCAGCTGTTTTAGGGCAAGTGGCGGGGTATACCCTGGACTGGTCTCCAGCCAGTCACACTGTACAAAAAGACAAACAACCATTCTCACTCACAGTCACACCTAAAAGGGCAATTTAGAATTTTCAATCAAACTACCACAAATGTACAGTATTTGCAATATGGGAAGAAACTGAAGTGCCCGGAGAAAACCCACGCAGGTATCGGTAAAACATGCAAAATCCACGCAGTCCGATTTGTGAAACAAATTTTATTATCCATCTACCCATTTTCAATGCCGCTTATCCCATTCAGGGTCACGGGATGCTGGAGCCTATCTGAGGTGACTTTGTGCAAAAGGCGAACTAGACTTTTAACTGGATGCCAGTCAGTCACAGGGCACATATAGAGATGGGCAGCAACTCACATTCACACCATTATTACTGAGTGGAAACTGAACCGAATGTACCACAACAGTGACCATATCAAACGAATGGTCCTAATAAAGTTAACACTCCTTTAAAGATTGTCAGCTTACGTTATCAATTACTCTTGCTTTGTTTCTGAATATGGCGACATGATGGTGTTGCTGCTCAATGCAGGGGCAGATCTATTTGAGTTCCCATGGGGCTCACCCACCCCAAAATCTGAACTACTTCTGTTTTCACAGAAAGCTGGGACATAGTAGTTTAAAAAATGAATATATATACAGTCAACAAGATGTAATTGGTTAACATTTCCTTCCCCTCACTGAAAAAGTGGTTTTATTGAATGAAATCATTAAATAAAGGCAAAGAACATCAGTGAAATCGGGTCATGCAAGTTAACGGCTGTTTAAAAACTCAAAGTAACTTGTGTTTCTGAACAGAATGAGTTGAAAGTGTCTTGTTTTTGCGTTTTGTGCAATATCTGACATATGAATACTGTATATATTGTATAGTGAATCATTGGTTTACAACACTACTGGCATACATGTCAAGCTTTCTAGGACAAAGTGCTTGTAAATGGCTCTGTATTAAGTATAAAATACAATACACTGCCAAGAGTATTTGCTCATCTGCTTTGACTCACATATGCACTTAAGTGACTCCCATTCTTAATCCATCACGGTGAAAATGATGTCAGTCCAACCTTTGCAGCTATAACAGCTTCAACTCTACTGGGAAAAGTCTCCACAAGGTTCAGGAATGAGTTTATGGGAAATTTTGACCGTTCCTTCAGAAGCACATTTGTGAAGTCACACAGTGATGCTGGATGAGAAGACCACGCTTGCAGTCTCCACACTCTAATTCATCCTAATAGTGTTTCACTGGGTTTAGGTAAGGACTCTGTGCGGGTTGTCAAGTTCATCCCCGTCTTGAGAGATTTTGCTTTGTGTACTTGTGGACCGACAAAAAAAAACCCAAAACAAAAACAGTGCCTTCCAATAGAAGCATGACATTTAAACCACAAAACAACAAACTTAAGTCTTTACATAAGTCTACAGTATGAATACAAAGGGTGCATGGGCCTCAAACGTTGAACATGTGCTCCTCTTCATGCATACGTGCGTTCATGCGGTGTATTGTAACCATGGCAGCAGACCAGCTGTGTGCCTGAACACGTGCATCGCACTCCTGTATTGAGCTCAGCAAGCAGTGCAGTTCGTATACCTTCTTCTTCTTCTTTGTCTCCATCTCCTTTTTGTTCTTCTTATTCACAAAGTATCAAAAATGAATAAAATCTATTATTTTTTTTTCCTATGCAAGCAAACAACAATTCACACCTATGAACAATTTAGGATCTTCAATTTACCTCTCATACATGTTTTTTGAATGTGTTGGAAAACCCAAGCAAGCACAGAGGGAACCTGCAAACTCCACATAGGAAGGCCAGAGGCAATATTTCGAATCACGGACCTCAGTGCTAACCACTATTCCAACTACGTACACTATGTTTGCAATGTATTCACAGGTGGAACAGATACACGAACAACCATTCTGACTCACATTCACACATATAGTCAACTTAGAGTACTCAATTAAATTAAAAGATGTCATGAATAAACACATACAGGACCCTAAATGAGTCACTAGATCAGCAATGGAAAATCTCACGTTGTTTCCCATATTTATTTTAACATCTAAATTTTCTCATTTGATTTGTTTGTGTCAAAGCATGTGGCTCTTTTATGCAAGGCATGGCAAGATAAGGTAAGTTTCGTTGTGTGGACATTTCACGTACACAACAATTAATGCTCTACATCGGGGGTCGGGAACCTATGGCTCGCAAGCCAGGTGTGGCTCTTTCAGTGATTGCATCTGGCTCGCAGATAAAACAAAATATTCTCGCTTGTTTAATCCATCCATCGATTTTTCACTGCTTATGTCCTGTTCAGGGCTGCAGTTGGCTGCAGGAGCAATTTTGATTGGATGATACTGGCCTACGTTGGCCGTTGCTGGGGAAACAGGTAAACGCCCCCTTTTGAATCAGTTGGTCATTAGCTCAAAGCTAATCCTTCGACGAAAAGAAAAAAAGATGACGAGTATGACCGAAGGATTCACCTTTGCGGAGAGAACAGGTTCTGCGGTGTGTCTAATTTGCAATGACAAAATACCATTGATGAAACGGTCGAATGTAAAGCGACACTTTGACACGTGTCATGCTACGTTCACATCAAAATACCCTGCGGGAGACAGCAGAAGGGAAGCATGCAAGCTACTGAGCAGGGTGCAAGCTAACCAGCAGCAACTCCGCGTATGGACCCGGCAAGCTGACTATAATCCCGCTAGTTTTGCTGGATCTTTAGCAATGGTGAGGAACGGAAAACCATTCACATTAATGTTGAGTTTTATCATAAAATTATTTTAAAATACATTCAGAGGCTTATTATACTGACATTTTGTTGAATTCACTTTTAAAATACAGTTTCACTGAAATACATTTCCACATATTTGGCTTTCATGGCTCTCTTAGTCAAAAAGGTCCCCGACCCCTGCTCTACATAAAACATTAAAAGCATGACAGAAAGAGAAACAGAATACTGTATCAAGACATTGCCAAAATCATAATGCAATCATCTAAAGCAATTACATCAAAATGATTAAATGCAATTACGTATCTGTCTAGATAAATAAAAACATAATGTGCAAATGGGGATTAAAACAAGTGGATGAGGGATGGATTCATGAGAATTGCTGCAGTAAAGAATGTTCTCAGCCATGATTTAAATGAACTGACAGTGTGAGCAGCCCTCGGGTACTCGGGGAGTTTGTTCTAAGGGTGACGAGCATATTAACTAAATGCTGCTTCATTTTCTTTGGCTCCAGTTTGGGGAACAGACAATAGACCTGTTCTAGATGACTGGAGGGGCCTCGATGCTTCAGAGGGTACTAATGCAAATGGCATATAAAAAAGTATTTTGGTTTAAGACCATTTTGAGATTTACAGATTTCCAGTGAGTCTTTGATATTTAAGGACAGGTGTGATGTAGTCCTGTTTCCTGGTGTGTGTAAGGACTCTGGTGGTAGATTTTTGGATCAGCTGCAGCTGCCTGATTTATTGATTATTTTTTTATTAAGACCTACAAAGACATCATAACAGTAACGTACCCTATTGAAAATAAAAGCATGAACAGGTTTTTCTGTGTCTGGTTGACAAAGAAATGTAAAGTTGCGTGTCATTTGCAGAAGTATGATAAAAGATGTGACACTACATAATCTGAGCAAGTAGCAGCATCTAGATATTCAATAGAAGTGGTCCAAGAATGGATCCTTGTGGAACCTCGCACATGATTCTTGTTCGCTCAGACGAGTAGCAAGTAAGATTTTAACCAATTTAACACAGTGCCTGTAAGTCCCACCCATGTCACAGTCTGTCAAACAAAATGTGTGTCAAAGGTAGCATTGATATCTAGTGATACCAAGACAGTGGTTTTGAGGGCATCATTATTCAGATGTATGTCATTCAAGATCCTAGTAAGTGCAGTCTCAGTAACGTGGTGTGGTCGAAATCTAGATTGAAATGCATGAAAGAGTTTTGCATCCTAAAACTGAATCTGTTAAAAAAAAAACACACACATACACACTTTTCGAGATTTTTCAGTGCTGTGGTGTGGTCGAAATCCAGACTGAAATCCATCACAGATTATTTTGCAAAACTACCCCTTGAATGATTTTTTTTCCCATCAGAAACAGAAGATTCGATACAGCGCCTATAGTTAATTATTGTTGAAGCTTCCGGGTTAGGCTTTTTTTGAAAGTGGTTTTATTACTGCAGTTTTCAGGCCATGAGAACTATCCTGATGGAAGAGAATCTTTCACTATGAGTAATACATTTGGAGTAAGGCAATTAAAAACATTTTTGCAAAAATGTGAATTCAGCATTTCAAGACATCATGCTGTGGATGTTAATTTTAACATTATTTCTTTCAAAGTTGTGTTTCCCAGGAGGTGAAAATGTTCAAGATTAACTGGAGAACAAGATGGCACAAGTGACATTGTGATTTCTTTCCTGAAAGAGAGTCATTTACTTTTTGTCTTATCTGTCTTATTTTATCTGTGAAAAAGGGTGAAAAGTTATTGCATGACTTGTTGGACACCAGTTCGGAAGGGACTGATGCTGTTGGGGGGTTGAGAGAAGACAACCTCTGAGAACAATGAATGTCTTGACAGCAGTGGAAAAACGGATGCAATCACCTACTCACGCAAAAAGAAAACTTGTGACCTCCTCCCAAGTCTTCACTGAATTAAGAAGCACCCACCTACATACTCATTCCTCACATAACTTGAGTTCATGGAAGCACAGTGGTATGTTGGAATCCCCCTTTGAGACTTTCTGCCACCCTTCCCTACTCTTCCTTTCTTCCACTGTAAGCTGCCTGCTCTATATGTGGCACCGGAGCCGCTCGAGGAATCCATTCCAAATGTTTTCCATATTAGTTCAGCGCCTCCTCTGCTTCCAAATAGCAGCTATGGTGAGATGAGGCCTGGGCAGGGAGGGGAATAAGAGGTGGGGGCGGGAGGCCGACGGCGAGCGGGCAGCCAAGCTCGGCCGTTTTCAAACAGTGCCGAAAAAAGTGGTGAGGACTGAGAGGTACAGATTGTGAGACATGGGCAAGAAAGGTTCCTCAGAGCACAGGGATGGCGGAAAGAGGAAAGAAGAGAGTGCAGCGGCGGACGACGACCGCAAGTGCAGAGTGTGCCGCTTCCCTCTGCTTGTGGCTCTGTCGCAGCTGCTCCTGGGGGTAGCCGTCACAGTGGTGGCCTTTCTCATGCTGGCCATCAGCCCTTCACTCCTGGCCAGAGAGACGCCACATTGGGCTGGGATCATTGTAAGCGCCGTCTTCGTGCTCACCTTCTGCATTCCTTTGCATGGACGTTTCTGGTTTCTCGTTACTCGTGCATGTAAGGCAATGTGCCTCTGTTTTCACTACACGCAAGTCAGCAGTGGTCCCACAGTACCTCACTCAACTGACAAAACACCGGTAGGATCACACTATAATATGAAGATCTAGTCGAAGTAGTCTGGATTGAACTGACAATGTCCAATGTCCAATCAAACCTGAGTTGTTTGATAAGGTAAGTGCGTAGTCCAATACAAGCTTAGAAGTGAAGCATGCCACTTTGACCTTAAAGGCATATTAAAATTATTCGGCCATTTCCAGCAGTAAAAACTTAAATTGGTAACGTCATTATTTTTCATGTACATTTATTTTACTTTAAAAAAATGGGTTTAAAAATAATATTGCTCACCGCCATATTCAATCACACATCACTAGACAATAGTTGCGTGTGTAAACACTGTACTAGACTGCACAATCAGATACACACACACCAACTTAATTCATTTATACTAGTGTCAATTCTGAAAGAATAAAACCATAACGTTTGCAGCCAATACAATGAAATAAGTCTACCAAGTGACAATCCATTTTGAGATGAAAGATGGAGCGTAGGGTGGTCTGTTTTTGGGACAAACACAACTAGCTGACTCTGAACCCGAAGAGGCTGCCCTCCAACAATATGTTGTGCCATGTGTTTGTGTGGCGGCGGCTTGGCCTCTCTAGTGTCGAGGTCACTGCCCTCCTCACTATACTGCATTTCATAAACAACATTGCTGAATTTTGTTTCGAGAGATTTTGTCCTTGGAGTAAACCAGCTTTTGTCCAAGGATGTTGCTGGGTTTGAAGTGTATCTACAGGTTTTGTTGGGAGAAAATCCTTCAAAATTTATCCAACAAAGTAGCCACATAAGGGAACACCACATTCCATGTGGTGTGACCGTTCCTCTCCTAGCCGACTCGAAAAAGGCCAGAGAGTTAAACCATCCTATATTGAGAAGATGAGCATCCATATAATTATACATGTAAACTAAGAAGAGCCACACAGTCACTTGAGGCAAACTGAACGTCAGCATAATCAGCTGACGGCCAATTGCCACATTTGTTGCTTAAAGTAAGAGTATACGTGATGGTCACTTGCACAATGTGATAGTACCCAAAACAAAATCTGTGTAAAAATATTTTTACCCAGTAATGTTCCGTTTTGATTGACACTGTCAGTGAGGTTTATTATTGTTGTGAATGGGGGATGAAAAATAACTCCCTAACTTCAAATACTTTGAGGCTATGACGACGTAGATTGCATTTTTGAATGAGTGATATGAGTGTCCTGACAGGATGGAGAGTTTTTACATACTCAGGAGTTTGCAGCCAGATGTAAGATGTGTTGGTTAGGATACACATTTATTTTAATCACATGGGAAGTTTGATGAATATAGTATGAAGAGACAGATACCTGAAAACTAAATGCAATGAGGGCGTACCGGTTTTACCGAGAATTATTTCCACCTGGATTGATATGAGATCAGTATCAATAAACTGGCAACCGGTTAACCCTGAAAACGATTGTTAGCTGATTAGACTTCAAAACAAGGACACAATATCTGAAATGCTCTCAAATGTGTATATGAAAGTGGCATTATCTGGCAGAAAGTTGATAGAGCACCTCTATTGGATGTGTTTTTCCCCCCAACAGATCATAACAAAAAAGTCAATTTGTAACGCTAAAAATAAAAATTAAAAAAACCACACACACAGAATTTCATTTGCATTTCTGCAAACTAAAATGAACAACTTAAAAGTATTGCATAAATGTATATAAATGTATTTAGAAGAATTCATATTTATTTATATATTTATTTAAATAACGGTAGCATGAGGGCTTACTTTACTTTGCTGATACATATTTTGTCAAATTTTCTGAATCGCTTTTAACTCTGATGATAAATACTGACATGTTACACGTTAAATGTGTACCGTAATAATGAGATTTAAACTGCATTTTGTTGGCGACTGGCAGAATCCATGTACTGTACCTAGAAAATCATCACTTTTCCAGAGACCCCCAAAACGGCATAGTTGTTGAACCATTGTCTTTGCAATGTCAAAGAGAGCAAGCCATTTTCAACACTTTACATTAGGAAATAATTTGTAAAAGTAACATCATTACTTTTTTGTGAAAAAACATATGACATTTGCTGAATTAGAGGTCTCACACACACACAGAATTTCATTTGCATTTCTGCAAACTAAAATGAACAACTTAAAAGTATTGCATAAATGTATATAAATGTATTTAGAAGAATTCATATTTATTTATATATTTATTTAAATAACGGTAGCATGAGGGCTTACTTTACTTTGCTGATACATATTTTGTCAAATTTTCTGAATCGCTTTTAACTCTGATGATAAATACTGACATGTTACACGTTAAATGTGTACCGTAATAATGAGATTTAAACTGCATTTTGTTGGCGACTGGCAGAATCCATGTACTGTACCTAGAAAATCATCACTTTTCCAGAGACCCCCAAAACGGCATAGTTGTTGAACCATTGTCTTTGCAATGTCAAAGAGAGCAAGCCATTTTCAACACTTTACATTAGGAAATAATTTGTAAAAGTAACATCATTACTTTTTTTGTGAAAAAACATATGACATTTGCTGAATTAGAGGTCTCAGTTTGACGCTAGCAATATGCTATTTTTTATGCCAACCTGTTTCCCAAATCTATTAGTGTGTGTAAATGTGTTAAAGTGAGGCGTTAACTTTGTGCATGTTGTATGTTATAGGTGAGTCAAATTGAAGGGGGCAGACGCTCCCAACCGGCTAACCGAACCAGTTTAGCTTGAAAGTTCACAAAACTAGCTTACCTGTGTCTGACAGATATAAATATGATGTTGTGTCTCTAACTTTCAAGTCGCAAACCTTGGATGTTGCTGTTGGTAGAAAGGGCCGCTTGCCCTATTGTGTGAGTGAACACAGCTGGCTTACTTCCTGGCCAATGAAAGCGGCTCCAGTCGTTCTCTTCAAATTCAGTTCAGGAGAGGTGCACGCTGTCCTTGACATTGCGGAAGGAGAAATTGACCCACTGGAGTCCATGCAGAAGATTGAAGTGTACAAAATATGTTTATCAGGAACTGCAAGGAGACCTCCATAGGTCAAGTTTGCCAAGGTGATCATGGATCAACACTGCGAAGTGCGCACTGAAGCACTGCCTTCCACCCCGATTGTTCATGTGCGTCTATGTGACGGGGGTGTTTTGATAAATACAATAAAGATAATGACAAAAATAATGCGTTCAGTAAATTGATTTCGACAATGATTCAGAGAGTTCAATGCCCGCTGTTGTCATATTTTTAATGAAATACAGTTCAATGACATCCACCCCACACATATCCCCAGAGCTCACAATCTGTCTGCCTGCACCTCGATCAAATTCACCCAAATCACATGACACCCCCTGCACCATAACTTAGACCTGCTCCGAACTGGTCTAAGGTCTACTGTAGTCTACTTTCGGTCACCATATTTTCAGGGCCCCTGGGGATATGTAAAAGATAAAACTCAGGTTTGCGCTTAGCATGGTGCTAATTCCCAAACACTGGCAACCGAACTTGCTCCAGCACGTAAATCATGCCGAGCAAATGTGCGCCGTATATGAAAATAGTAAGTCACAGTTGAGTTGAGGCTTTCATAAGTTTTAGCCAAGCAAGTTGCAAGTCGTGAAAACAAACCACTCAAGATGTTCGCGAGTCCCAGTCATGTGATTTGACCTCTGCGCCTCTGACGCAACTTTACCGATTGAAGTGCTTGAGGAGGGCGTGTTTTCTATTTTCTTCACTAAATCAGGGTGCATTAAATTGAACAAAACAGCTTTTGTTGATGATTCGGCCCTATCTTAGTGGCCTGTCGAAAACATCTCTGGTCATCAGCATCCCGAGTTAGCGTCTCACGAGACGAATCCAAGTGAAAAACACTGACGTCATCAAAAACTTTCCAGAGACTCTTGGTGAGTGCTTAAGAACCCGGGAATAACCGTAAAACAAGATGCTGCACGTTAGTCACAAGACAAACTACGGTGTGGAAAGAGTGTGAAAGAAAGACTGTCTGTGGCAGTCAGAGTCATGTAATCAATGAATATGCAGTGTGTTAGTGGCAGCCGTCAATATGTGAGCAAAACAATGTGTTGGGCTTTAGGGCCCAAAGCAAACGCACGCACAACATTATCAACTTTAAACGTGATTAAAACTAATGAAGCTGTGGTGGCTGTATTGTTTTTGCAGCTCTGTTTGGTTGCCATTGTGGGATTCATCCTGTACTGTGTCACCTATCACCCAGATGAGCGCTCAACAGTGCAGTTCATTGTCAAGGTGGGTCTACTCTGTGCATGAGTAAACGGGACGCGTTCATGTTGACAGTCAATGAGGTCCTCTAATTCCATCACAAGATTGGAAATGGCATCGCGGAGACTGGGATACGTTGAGCATAGGGGCGAGTTGAGCCAGCCCTTGTTGCTAAGAAACCATTTTTAAAAACAATGATATGACTAAATGTTTAGGGATAAAATTCCATTTAAAGGCGATCTTCTAAGGGAGAACGGGAGTAGGCGAGGCTGGGGGATGTCGGGAGTCCTATGCTCAACCTGACCCATGCATACACTACCTTATTTTGGACAAACTATATCACCAGAACTGTATGGTCACACTCAATCTGCCTGTCTGTGGGGGGCTGAGGGAGGTTTGGGGTTGGGGGTGCAACATCCTGAAATATTTATCCTGAAGTTAGTCAAAAACTTAAACTTGCTAAAAAAAAAAAAAAAAAAAAAAAAAAAAAAAAAAAAAACAACCTTAAACTGCCTCCCCGTCGTGATCCTGAAAACTCAACCTAACACAGTCACCCCTACCAAAGAGAGACGATGATGCAGAGTTTTTTTTTTCTTTTGTCTGCCATGGATATAACTTCCCGGAGTAGTTTTCATTCACCAGACAATGTATGCAATTGCAATCTTAAAGTAGATCACATCAGTCTATCACAGTGCGGTATGACCGAGCAAGAGTTCTCGATTCATCAGTCATCTCTTGTTTGTGCACAGATAGAAGACTTTTCATGAAGGTTCTATTCATTGAGTTCAAAGAATTTAGGAAGAAATATTGCAAGAAGGCCACATATCAAATCCATTATGTATATGTGTGTGTGTGTGTGAGAGAGAGAGAGCGAGAGAGAGAGAGAGAGAGAGAGAGAGTGTGCAGTTAGTGTTAAAAACTGTTGGAATCTTTTGTTAAAAATATGAATCCTAATGTAATGTTGAGACGATGGAACAAAGAACCAAAATGCCCAAAACAGCATTACAGTAAAACCACTGTAAACTACTCATGATAATACAAGAGCTGCTTCAAATATTTGATATTAACAAGGTGGGTATAGAAAATGAATGAAGGGAAGGATCTGCAGTCAACAGACCCGTGTGTCAACCTTTTGTGAAAAAAGTAAAAAAAAAAAAAAATTCTATTAGGGATGTCTTCTTTAAAGTTGAGACATGCATGCAGCGAAGGGAAGCAACCACCAGCCGACGCTTCTTTCCGTCGCCAAATGCTCAGTCAAGCAATGAAACAGTTGTCGATCCCTTCCCCGTGACCGCGTCCCCCTTCTAACCGGCTATGCTTCACATTTCACGGCTGTTCCAAACTTAGCAAGAATGCCATTTGGAATCAAGCGGCGCTCATCATCTTGCATAATTCCATAAGAAGGATGTAAGTGAGCACAAGCACGCCAGCGAATAAAGGCTGCAGTTATGTAAGTGATGGATTAAGATCAAACTTCAGTGTTACTGCACTTGTGAAATTGCATGAACGTCATAAAGTCGTTGTCACATTTTACAACTGTATTTTTAGATAGTGGCAGTCACTCAAAACACAGACACACACACACACACACACACACACACACATGCAAAACAGGAGGCACACACACACACACGCAAAACAGGAGACAGGGCTCCTGATCTGAGGGTTAGGTCTTGCCCTGTGGAATTATGGGTAATCTCTTTGAAATCAATCCGCAACAGGCACTGAGCCAGCACGCCTGTTTAGTTTGCCTGTTCAGTTTGACTTCTCCTGGTTAATCATGAGACGAGGAGACTGAAAACAGATGAAACATATCGTACCCTTTATGCAACCGGGAATAATTATGAGTCTCGATTGGAGTACATTTTGCATACATTTTGCGGGGGTCATTTTAGGTCACGTGCCATTTTATATAATATGCGAAAGCCATGTGTTTGATGTCACCGTGAAGATGATCTTTGGCCACTAAATCGTTCACCTTTTATCGCAAGAGGACCTCACGCAATAGCAACAGCCTGAAAACAACAACATACAACGAATTGCAAATCCCTCACAAAAGTCATGTGAATGAATGCTGTTCGATGGATAAATGCAGAAGATATTTAGACCATAGCAGAAGATATTTAGACCATAGAGCTGGTTCGTACACTAAAGCTTGAATGAGTCACCACGTTCTATTTAAATCGTAAATTCAGTCGCATCAGAACTAATGGATGTGTCATAAATTCTTTACGGCAACGTATGACACCAGGATTTTTCTGTCAATTAAATATCCTTTGGTCTTGCAGGAAAAAAAAAAAAAGCTGTTGTCACAAATAGCGCTCGTTGATTGATTTAAAATATTTTGTTACGGTGCTATAATTACACGCAGCAGGAAAACTAGTGGAAGAATAATAAGATCTCCAAACTGCCAGCCAAGCTGAAATAATTCCAAGCAAAGAAACGCATGGAGCCCTGACGAATAGATCACAGCATATTCTGTGAAATACCAGATTCCATTCAATAGTGGCTGTGAGCATAACAGAAATGAAATCACAACAATGTGACTGATATTTGAAGCTCATTGCTTTTTCTGTCTAAGATCAGGCTGTTGGTCTTTCAGTAAAAAGTCCATCCGTGTCATGTTTTGCGTGGTGGTAGTTGGAGGACCCCAAAAAGCAGGAAGGAGCAGGGTGGCTCACCAAAATGTATTGAACAAAAATACAAACAGGAATACACAGGAGAAACTAACTCAAAAACTCATTCAAATAAAGTCCAGCAAAATCACAAAAAATCAAAGCAGCAAAAATCTAAGACAGAAAACAAAACATGACACGTGCACACAGCAACAAACAAACAGCAACAATGACCCGACACCGAATGGTCGTGCCGGGAGTCCTTTCAAACAAACAAACTAATGACACAATGACCAACAGGTGTGCAGCTGCAGGCGGAGCGCTACAGTGCCACCTGTTGGCCACAAACAGAACCATGACAATCCGTTCATTTTCTTTGGCGCTTATTCTCACTGGTGTTGCAAGTGAGCTGGAACCTATCCCAGCTGACTTTTGCTCTGCCAAGATTGGGGCCCCGAACCTCAGAACTGTGTCATGGGCCTGTTAAGCAGGAGTCCAGGGGCGGAATTACATGGTGGGTCATACACATGCTTGTGAATTTGGCTGTTGAGCTTCTTACTGGAGAACAGCAAGTTCGGCAAAAAGTGCAGCAACACTAATCAATTGGACATTTGCATTCAATAACACCCCCGATATGAACACGCATCACTCAGCATTCGCACAAGAACAATATTGATCATACGTGATGTGACACTTCTCTTCCTGCCCACAGCTCCTGTACTTTACCTTGTGTGTCCTCGGCCTGGTCATATCCACATTGGTTATGGCTTTTGCCGGATACCACCATGCGCAGATCAGCAGCTTCAGCTGCCTGCCCACCGCCGAGGCCTGCGTGTGCACGTTGGACCCCCGTGACCCCATAGCTCGCACTTTCACCTACGAGGGCGTCCGCGACTGCCAGGACATCACCGAGACGCTCGCGCTCTACCATTTGCTCCAGATTGTGCTGAACCTGGCCCAGGCCTTCTTCTGCGCTGTGGGCGCTTTCATCATGTGGAAGCACCGCTACCAAGTCTTCTTCTCCGGCCTTCAAATCGGATCTTTCCAGCGGTGGAACAAGGCTTAACAGGATGACTCAGTAGATCACAGGGGACACGCCAACTTTGGCTCTTTAGCGTGATGTCTTGCCCATCTCGTCTGGTAATTGTGTGATGTATAAAATGCATTTTTGTACCACTTTTGTATGTCGCAACTGGTGAGCAGGGTCATTTGCTTCAGAATTGTCATCAGATTATACAGGCATTTTGTAAGAGATTTCAACCTCTGAATTATTCCATCGCAAGCAAGTATGTGCTCTAAATGTGTTTGTATTGCAGAGCGTAATGCACAAGATGAAAATGGCATGTTATATGCTCAACCTTGTGGAAAAAAAATCACTTTTGGTGTTGACTTTCTTAGATTTCATTGCCAGCCTCCCTAGTATATAGCGAACAGACTATTTTTATGTTCTGGTGAAAGTCTTTCCATTCTCTGCAAACCAAGGCAAAACCGTGCATGAAAATCAGTGTCTTGCTTTTAATTTATTGTTTTGCAGCCCAAGAGTCACATTACTTCATTTTCAGTGGCATGTGGTTCATTCTTTATGTGTAAGATGTTGAAGTGTTGAAGCAAACGACAAAAGTAAAAAAAATACTTCCCCCACCAACTTGCATGGTTTGTAACTTGCAGTGCTGAGACCATTCACTTTTATGAAGACACTGACAACAAAAGAAAAGAGCTTTCATTTTCAGGAAGAGGTGTTCATTTAATAATGTGTTGTTTTTTTTTTAAATATTTAAGATATAGAACATTATACTTCCATTTCTTTTTTAGCTTTATTTGAGAGTTACGGGCTCTCTGTACTAAGCCAGAGCAAAAATCACAATCATACTGTTTGTGTTAAATGAATATATTTTGACTATTTTGGCTCACGGGTATTATTTTTGATACTTACTGAACTCTTGTAACGGGAAATGGAAAATAGACAACATGAGCAACATCAGCACACAGCAACAGTGGATTTTCTTCGCGTCGGGTTCCGAATTCCACTTTGGAACAGAGAGGAGCGTGCCAGGCCACCAACATGACTCAAATTGTCTGCAGAAGTCCAATTAAAGTACTGTGGTCACAGAGAGAGACGGGACGATGCAGATGAGTGTGGGGGAGAAAAGGGATACTCTGACAGGCAGCGGGACTGGAACAAGCAAAATGTCTCCATACTGAAAGGAGACAATTAATGTATGCGTTTTGTGTACATGAGGTGGAGAAAGGCAATAAACAAAAATAAATTCAACCTGAATTAAAGAAATACATATGAATAAAAAAATACTTCAAACTAAAACACAGTCTCATCGAAATCAACAAAATTTCCCACCTGAATATCTTGCAAGCCGATTCTAAAAATAGCTGATCAGTGATGGAACGTTTTGAATTCTTAGGAATGTTGTAGATGCGATCATTAAAAAAGTGAACACTGGCAGAGATTTACAGAAACCGTGCCGCATGCTGATATGTTTCCAAATCATTGTGGCAAATCATTAGCATGATCGGTGTCTTCACATAAATGGTCATCATTAATGCTTAATAACACATAATGCTAACATTATTAATTAAAGGTCATTTGAGCAAATGTGTTATTTCAGAAGCGTGCATGAAATTGGTCACATGAAAGAGTCTCTCGGCTGCAAAAGGCTCGGTGAATTGATCGGCTAGAAATTGAGAAGGTAATTAATAGACTTACTTTCACCGATATATTGGCTAAAATGGATCAATGACCGCCCTTATTTCGGGCATTTTGCCACTCCTTTACAAGCGCTGCAAAGGGCGTGACAACATATTCAATTAATGGTAATCAGGGCTGCTGTGGTGGTTGTGGCGTATCGTCAGTCGAGACCGAGACTGGAGACAAATTCCTGCCTAATGGGTAGCTGGATTCTGCCACAAAGTTTCATTACAACATCCACCTTCAAATGTAGCGCGAGTTTCCTCTTGTTCTGTCTTTCCTCCCCGCCCGCACTCTTGCTTGCTCCCGACCCGTGGAGCCTTCAGAATGACAAATCCCTTTTTGCTGTTAGTTTCCAACCGTACCGAATGATGTTTTAGGATTCCAAAAACGCAAGCTCGGACAAAGTGCGGTTACGAAAATATGAAAGAAAATCGCACTGACAAAGTATAAACTGAAATCACCTGTCTGTCACACAAGGTGCCAGCAAAAACAACGCGTCAAACCAAAAGCGCTTGAAAAGGCAAGGTTCAATTGGACACCTAAACAAAATATCCAAAAGTCCAATAACATGAAAATTAAAAGAAATACTAGAACAGGGGTGTCAAACTCATTTTACATTTTGGGCCGCATACAGCCTCGGTAGATGTCAAGTGGGCCGGACCATTAAAATTATACTATATTCTGCTATAAATAACCAAAATATCATGTCTTTCTTTTGTTTTTGGTATAGTGAAGCACAAGAACATTAGAAAAATGTTACAAAACATGTCATGAAACACCTTAGATTTCCTTAGAAAAATGTGCAATTTACTTTTATCATTCACATATATGCATTACAACTGATCCCACTGATTGTATAAAGGCACAAAACTGTAACAAGTAATTGGTATTGAAAAATATAGTAATTTTAAAATTAAGATTAAACGAGATTTATAAAGAAAGGAATTTTTAAACCATTTACACATGTGCATATAAAATCAAAATGTAATCCCTACCTACACTTTACAAACGAAGGAGAAAACAGTGTGCCCCTAGCGGATAATCCATGAATTGCATTTTATTAAAAATATGAATTCCGTGTCTTTTATGCATTTTTTCACTTTTAAATTATCCTGCGGGCCTGATCGAACCTCGTCGGGGGCCGGTTCCGGCCCGCGGGCCGTATGGTAGACACCACTGTACTAGAACAACAAAAATCACAAGGATCTATGAAAAAAAAGAAGAGCAACTATGGCTGGTATCGAGACTTCTAGCAAGCACACTTGAAGCACAAATAGCAAGCAAGGTCAATAATCCAACAAGGTGTAGCAGAAGTCAGAGTCCTGAAATACAAGGCTGGGCTTGATGGGGAAATGAGGCACAGGTGCACCTGCTGGAGAGAAACGCCCTTCACTCCAGGTGGATCTGGAACACAATCAAGACAGAACATGACATTCGCTACGCAAAGGTCGACCAGTGTATATATTTTTTCAAGGCAAGGAAGCTTTGTTTGTATAGCACATTTCATCTATAAAGTAACTCAGTGTGCTTCATATAGTTAGAAATACGACATTGAAAGGCATTTACAGCAAAATAAGTGAAGACATTCACAGTCGATGCCCAGTGATGTCATTGCAATGATCATTGCCTCTCTCCTTCTTCCATGTAATAGTCTACGCACATCACAGTTGCACATGTCCGTTCCGCACTACGCATGTACTGTGTTTAGGGCGCACTGGCCCTGTAAATTGCTAACAACTCAGATGTGCAAAGGAAAAATTCTTGAACAACTTAATCGAGTGACTTTCTTCAATATCAGCGCTGCTTTCAAAGCCTGAAACCAAATGTATGACTCCTGTGTGACATCAGCGAGAGACAATGTGACCTCTGTTCCAACTCACATGTATTTGACGCTGATCGTAACAGTTAATTCAGACATGACAAGTATGACTTCTCATAGCAAATGAGCTGCAGTGTTTCTCAAAGATTGCCCTGTTGTGGCAACTCATCAGCACTGGCGCATTGGAAATCAGTCTCGGAACTACCGGTACTTGGTTGGGAGGTGGGGATGGACAGCTGGACACACGTCTATTGTAAACCATATGTTCAACAACAAAAATAGTATACAAACCCAATTCCAGTGAAGTTGGGACAAACATAAATAAAAAAAGAACACATTGATTTGCAAATCTTGTGCAACCTATATTTCATTGAATACATGACAAAGACAAGATGTTTAATGTTCAAACTGAGAAACGTTACTGGTTTAGCAAATAAACATGAACCTAGAATTTATTGCTGTAATACATTCCAAAAAAGCTGGGACGAGGTCATGTTTACCACGTCACCTTTTCTGATTTTATATTTAATATACGTTTGGGAAGTAAGGATACTAATTATTGAAGTTTTGTAGGTGGAATTTTTTCCCGTTCTTGCTTGATGTAAAGGTTCACCTGTTCAACACATCAGGGTCTCCGTTGCCGTATTTTACGCCTCATAATGCATCACACATTTTCAATGGGAGGCGGGTCTGGACTGCAGGCAGGCCAGTCTAATCCTGGAGAATGTGGTTTGGCATTCTCTTGCAAAATTAAGCAGGCGCGTCAATGACAAAGCCGCAGCTTGGATGGCGGCATATTGTGGCGCTCCCGAGGGAGTGAGGAACAATTGCACTTAAATTTTCTAAAGCAGAAGAACAAGCTTACGTTTTTCACACCCCACACAATGACAAGTGTTGGCAAGTCATTAGTCAACATGTTATGCACAATCACGGTGTTACATCAGTACTAAAATTATCATCGTAAACTGGAGAAAATACGAGTAAATGATGAAACAAGTCAACCAATGACTGAAGAAATAATTGACACAAAACATGCATTTGAACACTACTTACAGCCTTTGTGCTTCAAAGTGGCGACGCTACAATATATTTCCCCAAAAACCTGCATGTACCTTTCAGCATTAAAGGTGCCTTCACAGATGAGTAAGTTACCTATGCCGTTGGCACTAACACAGCCCCATACCATCATCACATGGATTTTGAACTTTGCATCCATAAAGTCCGAATGGTTTTTATGCTCTTTGCAAATTCGCAAAAACAATTTGAAATGTGGACTCGTCGGACCACAGAACACGTTTCCATTTTGCATCAGTCCATCTTAGATGAGCTCGGGCCCAGGGAAGTTGGTGGCGTTGCTTGGTATTGCTGATAAATGGCTATTGCTTTGCATAGTAGAGTTTTAACTTGCACTTACAGATGTAGTGCTGAACTGTATTTACTGACTGGTGAATGGTGCTGATATCCTTTTCACATCAATGTTGGGTTGTTTTGTGCTTTTTTTTTTTGTTTGTTTGTTTTTGTTTTTTTGATGCAGTGCCATCTGAGGGATTGAAGGTCACGGACATTCAATGTTGGCTCTCGGCCTTGCCTTGCAGCTTACATGCAGTGATTTCTCCAGATTATCAGAACGTTTTGATGATTTTAAGAAGTGTAGATGATGAAATCCTTAAACTCCTTGCAATTGTACATTATTGTCCTGTTTGACTATTTTCTCACGCAGTTGTTGGCAAAGACGTGAACGTCGCCCCGTCGTCGTTTGAGAATGACTGAGCAATTCAGCGAAGCTCTTTTTATACCCAATTATGGCACCGACCTGTTCCCAGGTAGGCTCTTCCCCTGTGAGATGCTCCAAACAGGTTGAACTTGTTGGTTGCTTTTATCTGAGACAATTTTTTTCTTTAGGTTGTTATTTACCGTTCATGTTTTGACGAAAAAATTTCGCCTTCTTCAGAGTGTCTTCATCAGACCATTATCCAAACAGGTGTTTGATTTCTTTTTTGCCACCTGTCCCAACGTTTTTGGAACGTGTTGCAGCCATAAAATTCGATGTCAATTATTATTTGCAAAAAAAAAACCCAATCAGATGTATTAGTTAGAATGTTAAATATCTGGCCTTTGGAGTGTATTCAATTAAATATAGATTGAGCATGATTTGCAAAACATTGTAGTCTGTTTTTATTTATGTTTAACACAACGTTCCAACTTCATCAAAATTGGGTTTGTACATTAAAATAATGAAATGCGCATTATGGTTGACGCTACAAGGGCTGGCACCTTTGTGCTTGTGCTATTTTGTGGTCATGACACATCATGTGAGGACAAAAGGCTGAGACACAGCAAGTCACATGCCTGTCATGACGGGGGCATGCTTATTTATAAAAGACACTGAGAAGGAACCTTCCGCCCTCCTGAACAATCAAATGTAAGGTCACATGATATTTTAAGACAAAAACATTGCAGAATGTTGCTGCGGGTGACCCGTGATACAACTGTGATTCTCTAAATGGAAAACACAAATTGTTGCACAATTTGACAAAATGCCTCAGTGTGGAACCAGCGATGGCCAGTGTTCAAATCTCAACTCTTGCCCTTCCTGTGTGGAGTTGTTCCACTCAACTTCCTCCCATGTTGGATATTTTCCACATTGGCACGACATGATTCTTCATACCAAAAACACACGTTAGGCTCAGTGGAGAGTCTAAATTATAACAATTATAAGCAATGGCACTCACACGTGACCCTAATGAGGAAAAGTGCTCTAGTAAACAAAATATAAAATATTTACACAGTAAATGCATACATCTACACTGTCAATGAAATATATCGAGTCTAGCCCAAAATAATTTCATTGTAGTCTGCAAAACCTTAAAAAGGGGGTAAAAACATGGAATCACATTGTTTCTCATAATTTGGTCCTCTCTTTTCATTTCAAAGACAGGCATTTTCTTTGTATTCAGTCTCACAAAATTAAGTACACCTGCACAGACAATTGATATGCACTTGTACGTTTATTATCACGACAATTCATAATTGCGCTGTATCATACACTTTGGTGGACATCACTCAATCATATGAATTAATCAATGTGTTTTTTAAAGGAGAACATTTATTTTAACTATTATAATTAGTTCACAGGTGACTGTGACATGCTCACAGGTATGTTTGAACATATTGATAAAATATAGACTACCAAAAAAAAAAAAAAAATAGCAGTTTTCCCCATGATGCCCCCAGGGGATTAATTTGCGCACATTTGAACATATTTTGCAAGTACATTCAAATGTGTTTGCCAGCCAAAAACGTTTCCGCCACATTGGCAGTTCCACGCTTCCGTACGAACATGCTTATGGTGTGTATCGTACTTTTATTGAAGAAAAAAAAAGCGAAGAGATGAGCCCGTGGAAAGAAGAAAATCCCGGTGGCGTGCCAGAACATGCTTTTGTCAAAATACCCCGAGGTTCGAGAATCTCAGAAAAAAATTCCACACAGTATGCTTTGTCACGCAGAAATCAAGCCTGTTTTTGACTCGCCGCACTACCGAAACGCTTTCACACACACTACTGAAACACGCTTGCATACATTACTGACAATTGTTCTAATGGACCACAGAAACACTCAACACACTACTAAAATGCCCGCTCACATAAACGGCTGAAACACTCTCACACATCATAGTGAACCACGCTCATATATCGAAACAAACCTTGAAGTGATGTGTGTGAGAATTTTTCAGTTGTGTGCGAGGGAGTCCTGAATGATATCCTTGACAGATACTTCACCTCACATGCTTTTTCTCTCTGACACCACCTCATTCAGTGATTGCTGCACTTTATTCGTCTTGTCGACGCAGTAACAGCTGCTCACTAAAGTGTCTCCGCGCGGGCTAAATTTAATGGCTGTCACGGGCAGCAGGAGCAGAGACAGGCCTGCTGGTGTAAACAGCAAAGCGAAGCCAAGAGGGGAGGGGCGAGACGGGACGGGGTTCCCTGCAGGAGCGGCGGGACAGGATTGTGGGATGCGTTCATCTTCTGGGTTACACAAGGACAAACCTGAAGATGGTGAAGCATTTTGCTGCGTTGGATTAGCAACGCAAGTGTCACGTCATGTTGTGGAAGCACACGCTAGAAAATTTAGCAAGTCAAACATGCCGAATGTTGCCAATATATTGTCATTACCTGGTACATGGAATTGTTTTTCACCATTGGAGCAAAATAAATATCTTAATGAAAGATTACTGTTGGAGCATTACAGACTGACTGACGTCAAATGGGTTTAGGGAATTCGCGAAAGTGGACATAATCCACGATGGGATGCAGCCAACCTCCTCGTTGTTGTTCTTAAATAATTGAAATTGAATTAATCCAGGGTCAGTTTTGAACAACGGCAAAATTTTGAAGTTTTGAACAATATCATATCAGTGTAAAAAAAAAAAAAAGTTCATTTTAAAACACATCCAGACATTAAAACATTGATAATCACCATTAACTCTGACGATGAGTGATTGACGTACAGGATGTGTTTCAACTGTCAACAAGAGTAAAAATAAGATTACTGCTTGTAAGGTGAGCTGCTTCACATAAAGACTGAGCCAAGCAAAGCTGAGACAAACTGGAAGCAGCCAGGGGAGAGATGCTTGCTGTGCTTCCAAGTTCCATTTTTGGTCCTGTGCTCATCAGTACACGAGACGTTTTGTTTTTCCTATCGCTGGTGGTCTTCTTCAGTGGCAAACTTGTGCATTTAGGACTCATATTTGGCCAAATTGTCTCTGATTAGTGAATTGAGATTTTACTCACGCTGCTGCAAGGCCTTCATTAAGCCCCAAAATAAACATCCACCGAAATACTCGGTTGTCTGCACTGATACCAGAGAACTCTTTCACTCCTTGAACTTGACTTGATCAAATTAAAGAACTCTTCAGATCCCATAAAACAACAGTCGCTTGTAAATCAAGATAGATTTTGTTTTTCATGAAATTTAATAGTCAAGAAGTTAAGTATGCAGCTTTCCACCAAGGATACACAGAGTCAATTTACTCTCAAAAGACTCCATTTTGTGTCAGTCTAAACAGAGTAAAATTTACACTTGGAAGAGAGTCAAATATTCAGAGTAAATTTTACCCACAATGGATTAATTGTACTCCAAACGATTTAACCCAACATTTATTTGATGAGAACATAAATTGCTCACCCACATTTTACACTGATGAGAGCATCATGTACTCTGAGATTTTGATCCATTCTGTAGATTCATTCCCGCGCTACTGCACTGAAATAATATCACAGCTGTCTTTGTGCAGGAGGCGCAGGTACACCCTGAACTGGTTTTCAGCCAATCGCAGGGCAGACAGAGACGAACAACCATCCATGCTCACACTCACACCGAGGGACAATTTAGAGTGTTCAATCAGCCTGCCATGCATATTTTTGGGAATGTGGGAGGTAACTGGAGTACCCGGCGAAAACCCACATCTGCACGGGGAGAACATGCAAACTCCACACAGGAAGGCCGGAGCCGGAATCAAACCCTGCACCTCTGCACTGTGTGGCGAAGGTGCTAACCAGTCAACCACCATGCCACCCCTGAAATAATATTTGGAGTGATATTTACTTAAAAAAAAAAAAATAATAAAATAAAATTTACATTGAGAGTTTTTGAGTACATTTTACTTGTATAGTATTGGTTTATTTAAAAAAAAAAAAAGTCACTCAAGGTTTGAGGAACGGGCCTACAACCTTCACGTTGGGAGACAGCCACGCTACCACTTGAGTCATGCTGCTCCTACTGTCAGTGAGTAGATTGCTGGTGTCAGGTGGTTGCCAGTCAAGAGGAAGGCAACAAAAAGGTGCATGAAATCACTTCACGCATTTAACCACACCTGGTAAGTGACTTAGTCTGGTCTCGAGTTCTTGCATGTCAGTTGGCAACATGAATGAAACCGCTCACAAGACAGCATCAAAGTTTCACTGATATTAGAGAAGTAACCAAACGCTGGAGTTAAAATGACTGTACTGCCTGATTGAAGGACCCCTCTTGTGTTCATGGAAAAGTTGTTTTTGGAAACAAACTGCAGGGAAAGTCACACAAGCGTTCATCACATTTAAATATCTAGATATACTTTATTTAAACAAACACAAAGTTCAAGAAAGAGTAGATGAGGACACACATTTATTGTATGTCACTTTGTTGATGACCCAATAAAAAAAAAAAAATCGCATTTATTTGTCTCCAGTCATTACTACATGCTATGCCCATGTACGATTTAGAAGTAAAACCATTTTCAAGTCATAAGTATCAACTTTATTCACATTCAATTGTTACTGTGTGGAAATCTGGCTGAACGGGAAAGAAAAAAAAAGTGGTGCAGTAAATGCATCACAGTCGAAGGCAATCACCCCAAACTGGCCAGGTTTCTCCCTTTTGTATGGAAAAAGTGCATTTGCAACAAATGATAATCCAGTTTTAAAACATGGTTAAGGCAGCAAAGATTCCAACTCAAAAATGTAATTAAAACATACAAAATAATACTCCAGTTTTTAAAAAGCTCTGACCAGAAATCTAAAAGAGATAAGGACACTTTCCTAGCTCACGGCTAAGCACGGACCTCGGTACCAGTAGTCCACTTTCTGATCTGACGACATTAAGAAAACGAAGGTGTGATGAGGGCTGAGACAGCAAAGAACTAATCTGACCAGAACAGTTCCCTTCACCCTCTGTGGGCCACTCGAACGCCACAACCAGCACATGCGCGGCAAGTCTGCCCAATCATTCACAGAGTCGCCCCACTCTGTGTGCAAGTGTGCAGGCAACTTGTAGTTTGCCCCAAACGGCACACCGGTGTGAGGATGTGGCCCAGAAACAACAGCGCTGTCATACAAAAGGCACTTTGCGACTAATCAACTGTCAACCATTGATGAAGTAACTGCAGGTATGCATTTTTCCAAACAGTGGGTATTCCGTCCATCGTGTCCAGTTTGGGCTCTGAGACCCTCAGTGATTTGAGATGTGGTGGTTATTCTGCGGCGGACCCAATAATCCTTGCCTCTGCTTGTGCTTCCTCTGCTCGGTCATCTGTGGAGGACACACAAGCATGCGGTGGAGTTTGACTTTGCACGCAGAGCAGACGTGATACACACGATTACAGGGATCGGCCGGTCGATGGGACAGCCATGGCGGAGGATGTTATATTGTTTATTTGAAGCGCTCCCAGCTCCCCCGGTGAGCGTTACGTTAACACATCTGTCGCAAGAGGAACAAGGACGAGCCTGTGACCGGGATCACATGCAGCGGAGGGAGTCATCAGTCACGCTTACATCAGCGTGGTCATCCGCAAGGCCTGAGGCCAACTTTAACCTGTCAAAAGGTCTGAGAGCTTTCTAAAAAAAAAAAGTTGGTTATATTTGGGATATTAGGTTGAGACTTGACTCGGGGGGTGGGCGCTGGGTGAGATTATTCCATTTCAACTTCATTGTGATGCTGGGTGCCGCCTTTAGTTGCTGACGACTAATGCCAGCTTTAAGTGGGAGTGACACGCCATCCAGTCACTGGTGGTGTGCGTAATGGCTGACATGTAGCTTGACTAATGTCTGCAATAAACGGGAGCGACATGCCCACAGTCAGGAGTGCTGCGTGTAACAAATAGCATGGAAAAGAAGAGAAAGTCTTTGCTGCCATTGTATGGGCACATAGTGCCCCCCCCTAAAATATGTAGACTGACCAATGACAGGAGTGAAAGGGGTGACATGAAAGTTACTCATTGGTGGTGGAGAAACTTACATCACAGCGCAACAAAAGAACACATGCCCACTGAGGTAACACTGGAGGGGTGGGGTGGGAGGTGGGGGCGTTTGTGTTTGTGATCATTGCATGAGAGGGGCAAATACAGATGACTTTCAGCCAGACAAAAAGATGGTGTCGAAAGTGTGAGTCATCTGACAAACAAAATGCATATCACAAGGTCCTTAAAAGAGCTCCATTTCCTGCGACCTTTTGGCCGGCTAATATTTTTCCGGTCAAGAGTTGACATGCTGGCGTAATGGTGACAGTCGGACGATGAGAGTACAAAAATGGCTCTTTACCTGCTCCTTGAGCTCAGACAGCTGAGCGGAGAGCTGCGCAACCAGCGTGACGGTGCTCTCCAGTTTCTCCTGCAGCAATCGCATCTCATTCTGCTCGTTATCCCCCTCGTTGCTCACCAGAGACATGGCTCTCATTCGGGGGAACCACTCCAAGTTCTTTTCCTGAGAGATGAGGGAGAGATCGGGTGCGAGAGAAACCGTGAGAAGGATGATGTGCAGAGCGGGGGAAAAATAGAGCTGAGTCAGAATGTCAAGGGGACGGCAGCGCCGGCAATTTTGCCGCCGTCAGCCCCGAGCAGGCTGTGATTCAGGGTGTGTTAAAGTGCGTCGGCCGGACTGCGGTGGAAGACTCAACATGGGGCTGTTAGCAACTGACATCACCTTTTAGTCGAAATCATCCTCTCACAACAGAATCTGTTCTTTGCTTTGCACTTGAGCGTGACGGCGGTTCCGGTTTCAGGGCGGAGGTCAAGCATGGTCACACACTCACTAATAACTGGCATTTCCAGGATAGGAGTCACTCTCTTCAATCAAGAACTCAAATTGCACTCACGTGTTATTGTTTGAGAGTGTGTAATCTTAAAAGCCAAAGAGACCTTTATGCAGGTGGAAATGCACATTTGTCAGCTGTCATTCTTGAGTGTTTTCTTTCCATCCAAAACATAAAGGTATTTTGGCGAGCGGATTTAAAATAAAGAAATAAATCTGGAGATTGCTGATTTTCCATTGGAGCAGCAATAATGAGGACAAGCGGTAGCGAGAGAGAGAGAAAAAATATTTTTTCTTTTTCATAATTGGACAGCAAAAAACAAATGCTTATGTTGTTGCCGCATGGTGATGCCACATCGTTTTTTTTTTTTTTTGTCCATGATGTGGTCTTACTTTGAAGAGTTCAATATTTCAGAATCTTTTTGAGTGGAGAAAAGTAAAACTGCAGTTGAATGAACCACAAACTTTTGAGTGCACAAAAGCGGTCGGGCAAATTATTGCCACAGGCCACATATTGTCTGTTTTTTTGTTTTTTGTTTTAATGTGGCCAACTAAGCAATTATATTAGGACAGTTCATTACAAGAGTCCTGTAATAGTTGATGTCTTTATCTAAATCTCTTTTTCCCCCCAAAATGGTTCAATTAAAATGTATTTTTGTCATTATTGAGGTATTTCTTATGTAATAATTGGTTATATTCAGTCACAAAAATATGATTTAAGTGTTTTATTAAATTATTGGCTTATTTTATAAGATAAGATATCCTTTATTTGTCTCACACTGGGGAAATTTACAGTCTACAGCAGCAAAATTGGGGGGTAGAAAGAAGAAAAACAGTGTTTGCATGCACATAAATAAATGTTTCAGAGAGATAAATATATCGAGTTAAATTATCTTCAAACAATTACAATACATAAAAGAATTATGATGATCTGCCCTAATCTGTCGGTTTTATAACTCAAATGTGGCCCTTGAGCAACAAAACTTTGTCCAATCTTGCTCATCTTGCATGACTTCATTTTTTTTCCCCCCCAACATAAAAAGTCACAGTGAAGAGGAAAACAAGCCACTGGCATTACATAATGGACTTGGACCTGAAATGCAAAGTGTGTCTGTGGGTGTGCATCTGCAGCAACGTCTAGTGGGTGAGAGACATTGCTTCATGCAGACAAACTGTCATCAGCTGATCTTGTGTAATATTTCTTGGCCACTTGTGATAAGAATGACTCAAATGGTGCCGTGAGTGGGTTGGGACGGGCACCGTCACGGCGCGCTGCGGCGAAGGAGTGAGGTATTCTCCCACCTACGATTATATAAGAATATATCTCAGGCATGGAAAAAATGATTCGTGTGAGAAGCTGAGTATGGACTGACACACACTAAAGTCCATGTTTCCTCCGTGCACGTCCAAGCCCTCTTAAATGCCTTGACTTGTGCGCTTGTCATCCCCGCGCATTCGCCCATCCAGATTTTCCACACCAAACACGTATAAGATGGGAATGACGGATGAAACAACGAAAGTGCTGTAATTCCCTTAAGGATAAGGCTAGCCTCGAATCATGGAACGTGGACTCTTCCTCAGACTTGTGAATGTCATTGAAATCTGTGGAAAAGATCAATCAGACTTTGAAATTGGAGATGAATTGTGTGTTGTGGGCCAGAGGGTACAAGTTAAGGGTTGGGAACATTTGGGTGTCCTCAAAATTGTGGGCAAAGTTGCTTTCACCATGTGCAATTTTACATTATCAACCGTTTCCACAATGGACCCGCACAAAAACGCAGGAGTACATTGACTGACTGCAAATTAGACGGAAGTGATAAAATCCTCATTCGGCCAACCAGCATGCAGAGACTGCAAAAGAGAGGGAAGTGAAAATTCTCCATTCTACGAATCAACGGGCAGGATTCAGTCACATAACTGCAAATAACATTATTACCAAATACAGACTAGTCCACATCCCTAGCCTGGAAATGATTCGGCGGTTGACAAGACAGATGGTCAAAAAAAACAATGACAGATGTATGAAAACCAAAAAAACCAAAAAAACGTTTGCCGTGAAGAGCAATACACCAACTTGTGTTTTGCCACACACCATATGAAGGATGACATGACTTTGGGACTCCGCCAACATGACTTACATATTCCAGGGTGATGCGATACGTGACACAAATCACCATGTACGGTATCAAATTTGTATTTCTTTTTTTTTAACGACAGCTGTAATAGGCAGAAATGGTAGACCTCTCCATACGACGCGTCACACTTGCTGATCTGTCATTCATGAGAATCTGGATGAAATAAATATGTCAGAAATATTCAGAAAAATCAATGAAGAGCCCCTATATTCGCCTGGACGTAATTGGAAGGTATTCATTGTATACTATTGCCGTTTCATTGCGCAATGTTTTGCAGACAATGAATGAAGCAATTTAAAATGTAAACGCGCTATGGCTCAGAAACAATGTTTATCCATAACTGTTCTGGAAACCAAGTGCAGATTTTTTTTTGTGTGTGTGTGTAAAATAGCATCAAATTATTCGTGGTTTTTGAAGGAATAAAGAAAAATTTGGGGGGACCTTATTGACTACCCCTAACTCCAGTTCCACTTTTTAATACTTTATGTCATGAATCTAATAAAGGTAATTTAATTGGAATGCCGTAGTTATGACTGAGTGCATTTTTGGAGGTTTTTCAATTAAAAAAAAAAAGTCGGTGGGGTGATCTGCACTCAGAGAGAAATATTTTGCTTTATGTATTTATTTTTACCTGCTGTCTGCTCTCAGGTCATCCCTGCAAAAAAATATTTGCTCTGCTGTACCAGGATAAATAAAGGTTGAGTAAAAAGATACAAATAACATTTCTAACACGTGTGGGAGAATACGGCCCTACGTAGAGTCTGAAGAGTTTGTCAGTGCAAAGTGAGTCATTAATACCCAACAATCACCGTGGGAATCGGCTGAATGGCAGATTCTGGAAGTGCATGTCAGCAGGACTGAAAGTGCGTATTTAAAAAAAAAAAAAAAATGTCATCAATGTACTTTATGAAAGTTAATTTGCCAGATTCCAGAATTCTGCAGTTATGTTTTATTATATGTATTTGATGTCATGTATTGCAGTTTGGAAGGGAGAAAATTGAAGAAGGAAAACAGGCGCCACAAAATGCAAACAAAAACGCTGCTGGATCACTAATGTCTGACGTAGCCACAATAATGTGACTCAAATGGGACAAACATCTTAATCTAATATTTTCTTGTTCCAAACAATACCACGATTGCCTTATTTTGTTAAATATCATGCTGTGCATGGGCAGCGGTCAAGAAGTGTCCAAAGGATTTGGGATTTTTTGCCCATATTGTTTGCGATAGTCAAAAGCAGTCCTCGCAGATCCTTAGGAGGCGACTGCACCGGTCAGATGAAACTTGCAGATTCCTCACAAAACCGCAAATTCTGTGATGGTTTCCGTTCTTGAGACGGCAAAAAGGCGTTTCAGAAACAGAAGAAAGCCATTTTTTGTTGAGACACAGTTACTAATTGAGTCGATACTGAAGCAAGGCTGCGGGCAATCTGAAGATTTGCATGTGCCCTTGTGCATCTCATTTCTACTTAGTGCCGTTTTGCCGGAATGACTTAGCTTCACTGTTGCTCCCAAGATCAATTTCAACACCTAAATGAGTGTGCATTTACAAATTTCCATGTGCTTCTCATGGTTGCTACAGCCACCATCCTATCAATGTACACACTCTACTATACAAGCGGAAACGCCAAGAAATATTTGACCAGACTCTCGGGAGCCTCCGCTCAAGACAGCGCTTCACAGCACACTTTCTGTCATATGGTCACCAATTCAACAAATTCAAGAATCAAGACTCCACTGATTTTGACCAACTTTTAAGTCAAAAGAAATGACATCAATGGATTAAATTAAATAAAGCCACTTGCTAAGTAAAAATAGCAACAACGTAATGGCTAAGTCAATCAAATGCCAAGAAGGTAACACGATTGGTCGGAACAGAGTGCAAAAGGCAATTCTGGTTGTATTTTGAGCTTGTATGTCGGAACAAAATGTCAGCTGTTTAATGAGTGAACATGAACCAACAAAGCCTCGCGTGTTACCCTAACAGGCATCTCAAACTCACACTTGATCTGATGATTGTGTCAATTTTCTCAGTTAATCTTTCTCGCGCTCACATACACATGCACACACACACATCAGCTAAGAATGTGAAATTTGTTATGTAAAGATCAATAGATTTTATCGGACAAAGCAAAAATTGACCTCTGCCCTGTGCAGGCTCTTTTACTACGCTGCCACCTGTGCTGTTTTTACTGTCTACATTGTACAAGTTGAACTGTGATAGAGTGAGTGTGCATTTGTGTGTGTGTGTGTGTGTGTGTGTGTGTGTGTGTGTGTGTGTGTGTGTGTGTGTGTGTGCGCGCGAATGCGCTGGAGGGTAAATGAAAAGCTCATAATAGGACAGTGCGTTTTGCGTGCGCGTTATGTGTGAGTGAAAGGGACAGGAGAGCACGTGTGAGGCAGGCTGAGCTATTAGCAGGTCACTTGAGATGGGTTATGTAACTCGGCTGATGTAGTACCTGCTTGGGTAGCTTCTGTCCTTCTACACACAAACACCGGCGTCCGCACATAAGCGCACACGCATATTATCCACTCCCGGTGTGCACTGAGTAATGATGCTTTTCAACACATCAGCTGCGACCCACCAAACCCCGTGCACATCATATCGAGGCATGCGTGTACTGACACCTTTTGTCACATGGTGGCAAGAGCCAAATTGTAACAAGTCAATTGAAGGTCAACCCTCACCTGCAAATTCAATCAAACATTTAATGATAAAACACGGCCAACAAATGTATTGCATACCCACATTAGGTTACAGATGACATTGAATCGTAAAGGTGGTGATGTTTGAGGTTTGGGCTCGACATTATAGAAGGAGCTGAACACTATCTACTGCTTTACATGCTGCACTTTACCAGTCGCTTCCTAACCCACCGTTTCCAACGCATCTTCTACAGCTGCACTGACGCAGTCCTGCAAGTGGCGTCCTCTTGGCGAGCAGATAAAGCATTCTCCGAAATTAAAGGAGCCCTAAAGCATTTTTTTTTTTTTTTGTAGATGATCTTGGAATAGTTTACTAAATTAACGAAGAGGACACTCAAAGCACTTCAAGACTGACAATTTTAGGCCATGAAATCCAAATTATCTGCAGGACTATCTCAGTGCAGCCTTGGCACACGGGTTCCCTCTCTGAGTGAGGACTAACTTGAGTGTTTTCTTTTTTTTTTTTTTTTGGGGGGGGGGGGGGGTTCAACATGTGCCTATGCAACTGAATTGTTCCCACTCCAAGGAATAGCCAGCCTCTCACCCAAAGTCAGCTAGCATAGCCTCCAGGTCATTTAATGAGCAAAAGTGTGACAGAAAATGGATTGAGAAATGAAAAATAAACACTCACCTGCCATTGCATAGTAAACTCGAGTGTGTAATAGGTTTGTCATGCAAGTTGCTCATTATAATTTGAGCATTCCTTTGCCCAATCACATAATCAACGTTAATCCCAAAGGTGCCATTATGCTCCGAGTTCTTATTTGAATTCATTAAGCGACCATAACAACTTAAGCTGCCATTACCTCCTTCACGTGGTGGTCTCTGTGTCAGTGTTGCAAGTTTGTGCACTAATGTGAATAGAGCTGGACTGAGTTTAATTAGTATCTAACTCCACTCAATCCCTGAGGGCTAACTCAGCAGACTACCTTAGCAACGAAACCGTGTCTCTCTCCAGACATGTAAAAGCAGAAGGAAATGATACTTGACACACGCCTGTGGAGGCTCTATCTGTTTTGATTGTGACTCTGAAGTAGAGGCATACGTGTCCTCCCACTAATGAAGGCGGTGCCAAAAAGCAAATGCACTAGAAACAAAAACAAAAACAGGGTGTAATTCTGAAAACTAACAAAAGTGAAATATCGTCTGTAGTTAGCATTTAATTTTCCTGTTCATTGAAAATGACGTAAGACATTTGCAGTGGATGGATGGGAGTGACTGCAAAACAACTAATTTGAACCTGTCCGCATTTTATCGAGATCTGCACCAGTGGGTTGTGCAACCCCCTACAAAGTTTTGTGGAAATTGTTTGTGTAGATTTTCCATACTGCAGACAAAAACACCTCCCCCGGCTCCTGCCCCCCCAAAATTTAAAAAATCTCACTTTATCTGTTTGCAAAGGTCATAAACACATCGAACGCCAGTGTCAGTGCATACACTGTATTGGAAAGCAGTTAGAATGGTTTGTTGTGTGTGCATGCAATACTGACCGCTATCATCTGGGCAACGTAGCTTTCTGGACCAGTGTATTCGGTGGGATCCTTCACTCTCACCAGAACCAAGAAGTAAAGGTAATGCCACATATTGTGCTCATACATTATGTGCTCTTCAAAGGACACCGTCTTGTTGTCAAATTTGTCCCTTTCCAAACCTGGAAGGCATTGTCTCATCATTTATTTATTTACTTAGCTTCATCTCTTCCACTCGAATTTGAAGGATTTATGGAGTTGTACACACCGCAGATGAAACAGGTGGTTTTCAGAATCTCCTCTTTCCTTTGTTTTTCACTCCTTAAATCCGCAAAAGTGTCGATGATGACGCCAAAGATGAGGTTGAGAACAATGATGATTACAACAAAGAAGAACAGCAGGTCGTAAACCACGCGGGCCGCAAACAGCGGTTCCTGGATAGGCCGGTGACATGCAAAATAAAGAGAAAATGCAAATTAGCCAACGAAACGCAAACGTCATCTATGTGCAGCACAAATCTGTCCTGATCTGACCTCTTTGGAGGGTCTTCTCAAGATATCGCCAACACCACCACCATTACGTAGTCCTTGGTTCAAAACGGTGATAATGCACATAAGCAGCGTGTCGCACACCCTCTCTGTCCCTTCGTCTTCATCTATAAACACACAGTCAGTGAGCGGTGAGTATGGCAGATTTTTTAAAATTTATGTTCTTTTTTTAATAAGGAGAACAATTGTTCCATGTTTTTCAAGCAGAAAGATGCTAAAACAGTATGCCTATTTTCAGCAAGACAACAAATAGGGTGTGTAAAGTGTCCTGTAGCTCCAAAACACCTCAGGGTATTTAAAAGAAAGGCATGTCACGGACGTGTACTCTAGACAGCTGGGAAATGTTTTAAATTCTGACCCCCGCAAAAAAATAAAAAGCATGTCTCTCTTGCAGTGGACAATTTGATTCAGATCTCAGCTGACACGTGACTTGATCATGAAAGACGTCACATTAATTGCAGGCAACGGCGTGTCTTAAGATCAAATGAACTTCCACGTTACACCCAACAATTTTTTTTTTCCATGAGCACGAAAATGTCATTTAACCGTTAACTGTTGAATTGATTGTTAACAATATGGCTGCTCAGGATGAGGATCAGATGACGATGGGAATGGATGGGCTCACGTATGTGTGGATTTAATGCAGATGAGTCATCTCCTTGGCCACATCAGATTTCTTTGTGTGAATGTCTGTGTGTATGCGTGTGAAAGAGAGAGAGAGAGAGAGAGAGAGAGAGAGAGAGAGAGAGAGAAAGAGAGAGAGAGACAGAGTGCATTTGCGAGTGTGTGTGTACTGGTGTCCAGCGGTGTCCAGCTACGGTGCTGCTCTGCTGAAAACCTATTAAGTGTTCAGATTTCAGTCGAACCACAAAAATGTTCACCCTTCATTGTAAGACACAGAAAGCGGTTTGTGAACGTGTCACTGCCGCAAAAGCAAAAAACAAAAACTTACCAGCAGCAGTTTTAATGGAAACACGGCATCTCTCATTCGGACATGAATCTTCCATCAGTGGTTTAGTTAATAAATGTCCATGTCCTAAAAACAACAAAAGACGTGAACAAAATGTGCAGTTGTTACGAACTGTTTAAGCACAGTGGTTGTGTCAACTTTGGCCTTCCTCTATTGAGTTTATACTGTATGTTCTTCCTGGGTTCGACTGTGTTCTTTCTCCAGTCCCACAGTCCAAAAGCATGCACTGAGTGTTATTTCCTGCAGGTGTGAATGTGAGTGAGAATGCCTAACTGTCTCGATGTGCCAGCCCCGTGATTGACAGGTGATCAGTCCAGACTGCAGCCCGCCTCTCAGCCAGTAAGCTGGGATGGGCCCCGGCTCAAGTGGCAATGAAAACAGACGCAAACCAAATGAAATCGTCCTCTTTCTAATCAGTGCTGGTAATCAGCTAGATGTATGATTATTATGTAAACAGCAGCTGCCGGGTGGGCGGATGGCAAAGTGCCGCCGGGAAAAAACCTGAACAAACCAATTGCACGGCAGTGAGGTTCTGAGCAACTTAGGAGTTCTACTAGAATAGAATCATCTCAAAGAAAGGGAGTGACCCTAGCTAGGAGGGACACATGTTTTGATGGGGTGCAGGGATCAAAGCCCCGGGTTGACAGCTCTTTGGACACTGACAGTATTCCCCACAGGTCTGCTGGAGCTTTGCACCTCAGCTCCCTCCTGAGCCAACAGCCACAGAACTATGAGCGTCGCCGCTTACATAACCTGCCACTGCTGTGCCGTGCGTGCGCGTGTGTCTGCGCGCCGTTCGGCAATACACAGGATGGCGCGGCCACCGGGTTATGCAACAGGTGCACATGTGCCTGATGGCTGTCTCTCCTGACCGTGCACTGCTCACAGCCACAGCTCATTAACACACCCACACAGTGCAGCGTTTCCAAAACGTGTGTCTGCGAAGATACTGTTCATTTTCAAGCTTTACTGAGCACGATTGTGATAAAATAGGGAATGGCTCTTTGTCTATTAGACAACTGTTTATCTACAAAGGGCACTTATTGAAATAAAACGTGTGGGGCTATAAAATAATAGTTTACTGTCGTTACTTTGAGAAATGGTGTGCCATTATATTATTGTTACATTCTACATATATATATGTAGAATGTATATTCTACATGCTCGCTATTTCACGGTTTGTTTATCGCGGCTTCAGTGCATCGCGGATTTTTTCAAACATGCTCATAAAAAAATAAATAAATACATTTCATATACATGTAGTACAGTATTGTATATGTTGCTCTATGTGACTCGCTGTTGTTCTGCTGACTTTCGCAGCTTCTCGCGGAGCGTTTGCGGACTTTTTGCGGACTTAAAAAAAAAAGAATTATATGTTTACTGTATTTTGTTATTCATAAAATAAAATAAAAATAACGTATACACGTTTAAATCTATTAGTATACAGCATTAAGTCATGTTAATTACTTCAAAATTTACTTCTACATGCATGTATACCATGAAATTTGGCCTGATAAATATTATGTACATGTACCTATATGGAGGGGGGGTCGCTACTTCGCGGATTTTCGTTTATCGCAGGTGGTTTTGGTCCCCATTAACCGCGATAAACGAGGGATTACTGTATACACATAATATAACTGCATATATAAATACAGTACGCATTTTAGATATAAATACACATTTTATATATATCTACATATAAATATCTATCTATATCTATATATATATATATATAAAATATCTATCTATATAAATATTTATCTATATATATCTATATATATATATATAGATATATAGATATATATATATACACACACACACACACACACACACACACACACACAATAAATGATACAGTTCTGACCTGATGCAGACAGACGGTCCACTTCCATGCGGAAGTCATCTTTGAGGAAGAGAAAGCCAATAATTGAGAAAAAGTAGACAAGAAAGATGGCCAGAACTGCGGTGAGGATAATGGAGCGTCCATTCCTTGTCACACTCTTGATGACATTAAGCAGTGTTTCCTCTCTGATTACCAGGTCAAAGAGCTGTGTGAGGAGATTATTATGAGTCATCTACAAATATATTTATTAGTCCAACACATTCTTCTTGTGTTTGGAGGTCAATCTTACCAGAAAACTGTAAAAGAACTCGTGCACAAAGAGACCTAGAACACAGATGATTGCGTAGCCCAGATGGTAGATGAAAAGCATGTCCATAACGACAGCTTTATAACCACGGGTGAACGTCCCTTGGTTTCCCACAAAGCTCACCAAGAAAACTAACTTGTTGAACAACTGTAAGAGTGTAACAGAAAAACATTTAGAAGAATATAGTAACACTTGATTTGAGTCTTTGACCACTTACATTGACAGTGCCCAGTAGCAACAAAGCAGGACCGAGACCCATGGTGTAAATTGCACGTAAAATGAGGAAGACCAGGAAGAAAAGGATGCCCCATGGTTTGGGTAGCACTGGAAGTAAAGCAATGGAAGCTGACAATGCCGCCCACAGCAAAACACAGTTGAAAGAGGATAAAATCCCTGTGGAGGAAAAAAAAAATGGTGAAAAGACAGGACATCCATGAATTATTCTGAGCTAAATGTTTTAACTTGGTACCACACAACTACTCTTCCAAACGCTGTTTGAGAATGGTGCATTGTATATCAAACACTTAATAGGAAACTATTTTTGTCAATGGGATTTAACCATCACTCAGATGCTAACTTGTGTGTACACCCATTACAATATGAACAGCAGAGCAAACCATCCATCCATCCATTTTTCTGATCCGCTTATCCTCACAAGGGTCGCGGGGCATGCTGGAGCCTATCCCAGCTGTCTTCGGGCAGTAGGCAAGGGACACCCTGAACTGGTTCCCAGCCAATCGCAGGGCATACATAGACGAACAACCATCTGCGTTCATACACACACCTAAGGACAATTTAGAGTGTTCCATTAACCTCTCACGCATGTTTTTAGAATGTGGGAGGAAACTAGAGTACCCGGAGAAAACCCACGCAGGCACGGGGAGAACATGCAAATTCCACAAAGGAAGGCCGGAGCCGGAATTGAACCCTTCATCTCTGCACTGTGACGCCGACGTGCTAACCAGTCGTCCACCGTGCCGCCAGGACAATATGACATCAAATATCTTTCATGATTATGAGAAAGACTACCATTATAGAGTTTGATTCCACCATTGGCTTTGACCTTGAAGACATGATCGGCGTTGACGCACATTTTGTTTATTAAAAAAAAAAAAAAACACCCAGACTGTATACAACATTGGACATCTAATTTAGGAGTGGATTCACACCAGCACAGTTTGGCCCATTTTAAAAGGACCAGGGTTGGTTTTCCACGCTGGTCGGGACCTTTTATGCAGGTCTGAATACACAAAACAAGTCCTGGTGTGGACAGAGTTCTGCTTTTTTTTTACCTCCATTACCAGGTGGGTCTCGCTCTGCCAACCTCGTCATTTCTTTCCAATGATCGTTACACACATGGATGTGTTCATAGAAAATAGTTGACTCGCAAAAAGTGCAGTGAGAATGCAAAGAGCACCAAATGAAAAAACATTTAGTCCGCTTTTGGTCTCAACCAAACAAGCGGACCAAATGCCTTTTCGGGTGTCGATACACCCTAACAGTGCAATACTGCATTCGAGAAACGTCTATTGATCAGATATCAGTTTCTCACCTTCGTCTCCATCATCTCCAAATGGGTAGAATACAGCCACACAGATGTTGAGCAGGCAGGCCAGGTAGAATGAGATACTCCCCCAATGAGAGATATGGCGTGAGAACCAAAACAAAGCCTTATTTTCTACATGAAAAAAGGAAGCATAAGAGACAAGATTTAGACAAATATATTTCATTCTTCCAATTATTTTTTTAAATGAATTATCTCTGCCATTCGCTAAGTGGCGGAAGGCAAGGGGTATTTTTTGATAACCATTTGTTGGTTGGTCTGTTAGCAGAGAATCTGGATTGAGGTGTGGTACTTAATTCCTGACAACTGATTTTCACTTTTAGTTTTCAGCTTCTATGGTATTCTTTGACCCCAAACCGGGAATAAAAATGGCACAGACCTTTCCGCTTATTCACTTCTTACATATGACGGTGGACTAGCTCAATTTAGTTTTGATCAAGATCATAAACAGGAACTCATTTTAGCGGTTTGTCACTGTCGCTCAATCAAACCATTAAAAAAAAAAATAAAAAAATCCCCTGAGGACGCAGCAAAGTTTATCCTGATACCGACACAGCTAACAAACAGATGGACAGAAGACAAAGAAAGAAGAACGGGGCACAACGTATTCTTCATCACAGGCAACACTAACATCATCATTATTGTTATTATTTTGTACAAGACTCACTTCGGATTTTCTTCTGCCAACTCATCTCATTGTAGAGATTGTCAAACTGCTGAAAGAAGTCATTGACCTTGCTGCCCTGGTCATCTCGTTCAGTGGTGGTGAACACACGCATTTTCGACTCCTGGGTCAGGTACTCACAGATGTTGGGGACTGGAAATACAATCTGCTCCATGGTACGGTCATGACGCACAATCTGGCGAAGGCGACATCTTTAACAATTTGACGGTCTACATTCAGAGGAGAAAACTGAATGTAATACCACCAAAATTCTTACCTCAATTTGAGCTGTGTGATTGGCATAGTATTGAAGGGCATCGTCCTTTTCGTCATTGTCAGGATCCAAGCTTGATCCAGACCCCACACCTGACCCTGGCCTCAGGCTCTGCTGCAGAATCTTATTGTGTCGAGCCAGCTGGGAAGACGAAAAAAAATACAATTGGTCTGAAGATCAGGAGGAATTAAAAGGAATGAAATTGAATTGTTATGGTGTTTGTCCATTTTTACATTAAATGTGGATCATACTGAAACTGAAAGCAAAAATGTACCATATGCACCATCTGTATGCACAATGCTGGGCGTAAAGGGGAAGTCAATCCCCAAATTGTCTTTACAATAACAGGTTCTACGCACCTTCACTCGTCTGAACACAACATTCTGATTAATGTAGCGTTTGTGGAATATGAGTTAAGCAGCAAAATCCACCCACTTTTGTCCATCTCGGGGGGCGGCCATTTTGCCACTTGCTGTCGACTGAAAATGACATCACAGTTGCTCAGTGCACAGGGCGGGATTGGTTGTTACCTGAGTCCTGAGCAAGTGTGATGTCATTTTCAATTGGCGGGAAGTGGCTAAATGGCCGCCTACCCAAGATGGGTGGATTTTGCTGTTTAAGTCATAGTTTACAAACACAATATTAATCAGAAGGCCGTGTTTAGAGTATTGGAGGCGCATTGAAAATATTATTGTAAAGACATTTTTTGAGTTGACTTCCTCTAAAAGAGCCAAACCCATGCAAAAATGCAATTGTTCCCCTTTCTCGGTTATACATATGTTGACCTCTCTATTTAGCCATGTGAAGAAATCACAATATTAAGCTGAGGGAGACAACTGATGACAACTGTCCGATCCGTCCATTAATTTTCTATGCCAGTCATCTTGTCCAGGTGTTGCAGGAAGCTGGATCCTATCTGACGACTGGTCAACAGTCAATCTGAGCGCACATATGGAGACAGCCAACTATCCACACTGACATTCATCCCACCACTAAGTGAGAGCTAAACCCACACTGCCTTCACTGTAGTCAGGTGGGTGAACCACTATACCATCAATGACCTACAAATGTCCAAAAAGTGTCAAATGTGAATTCAAGTGAATTTATCTTACTGTTATAATGACCCAAGTAAGCTGGGCACTCCAAAATATTATCTGACACTTGAGTGTAAAGGCGCAAAGCTTAAGGCCTGTTAGACGCAGCCTGCTTTTTCTGGCTAACAGCAGACAAAGACAACATTCAAAGAAACAATCCACAAAAGAGCATGTCTTCACCTGCTGGGAACAATTGAACAGTAAACACCTCCAAATATTCTTTGTCACACTCAAATCACAGTGAAATTTGACTAAAAGTGCACACAGAACACACACAAATATACATGTGCTTCAGCATGAACCATTGCGCAACTTTGGGGTGAGCAGAAGGTCAGACAGACAGAGAGGAAATGTAACAATTGCTTTGCGTGAGTAAAAAAAAAGATAGGCCTGGTTACCAGGCTTTAAACGATCAGGATTTTTGGGGCTGATCACCCCTCAGCGACCTGCACGTTGAAAAAAAACCCAAACATTTGTGCCACTGTTTAGCTATCTTTGCAATGCTTCAAGGATGCCGGCCCACCTTTCATCTCATATTAATTAGCAGACTCACGCAAGGACCATAAACAGCACAGCGGCTTTCCATGCGGCAATACAAGTTCTTCAGCAGTTAGTTACATATTGACAAGTAGCACCAAAATCCTTGAGCAGAGGCCAAAATTCATTTGTGTTGGCCCGTCACAGCAAACTGTATGTGGGAAGCACTGCTGCTCTAACATTTTATTTCTTGGAGCTGATCAATGGCATCAGCGATCGATCGACTAATGAAAGACATTAAGGCTGATCACAAAATGCGCAACTCATGCAAAATATCGGCCGATCAGATCTGTGTAAATTCTACTGGTCACTAACCTGGTGGGCTAGTATATAAATGTTATGACCAACATCCAATGGTTTGATGTGGTCTGGAGCACTGTCTTCATCCTCCTCACTTTCCAGAGCTTGGCCATAGGCCTCTTTCATGACGTCCACCTCAGGAACAGCAATTGGTCAGATTTTAAAATGGCATCCACCAATGTGCACGACGCTACAGTATATCGGTACCACAGCACGCATATACACTCACAAGCTCAGTGGGTCTCATCTTGAAGAGAATTTTTTCCGCGTTCTCGCTGTCATGGCGGCTCTCCATGATGGCCAACAGGAGTTTGGATGCATTATTCTAGAAAATATTTTCAACTCACTGAAATAGTCAGCCTTCATCATTGTGTGATCACACTAATCGGACACATGGTTAGGCCTCACCTTCAGCTCCAAAACCAGGTCCAGGCGGTTCTTCCCCAGTGGGTTGATGGGGTTTACAATCAGCGCTATAATGATGTCAATACCATTTGACTCATGTTTGGCGATACATGTCTGGAAACGGAAGAAGTACACAATGATGCTCGGCTCTCAGAAAGTAAATTGAAATTTTGATTTTGAAACATCATGCCGAAAAGAAAAAGAATGAGTTACATGACAAGCGCACACCTTGTGACCTTCCAGACTTTAACAAATTTGCTTACTACAAGATATAGTAAGCAAATTTTATCCGATAACAAAAAAATATGTATTTCATAGACATTTCATTTGTCATCATTCACACACATTTTCTGGTTTGTTTTGTTTTAATCTTTGTTTACTGTCACACCACGTAAATTGTAAGAAGCTGCCTGAAACTTTTTTTTTAATTATTATTTAATATTTAAAAATAATAATTCAAGTAACGATTTACCTGGTTTTCATGGCAGGGGCCCTGGCAGTACTCAGTGATGGTTTCCAAAGTTTGACGAACGAGATCAACATTACTCTCGTTTATGTAAAGGCCAAGTAGCCCAAGGCCTCCAGTGGTGCTCCCACAAATACAGTCCAGAAACTGAAGTGTCTCACATACTAGATTGTAGTTGGTTTTGTTGTTCTGTGAGCGCAAATAGTTCTACACACCGAGGAGACAGGCGTAAATCAAAACAGTAGTGAAATCCACAATTAAAAGGCGAATTCACAAGAATGCCAAAAAAAAAAAAAAGTACCTGCAGATCACAATTGTGGTTCTCACAGAGAAGCTGCAGGAAGCGTAAGATTGGTTTCATAATAGTGATGGCTTGGCTCATGCGAGTCTCCTCTAAGGCCTCTTCAGCCCCTTTCATGTCACTGTTCTGGCACAAGGCTTCAAGATCCGGATCCAGCTCTTTTCGGAAAGCACAGAAAGCCTTAGAGGTCACAGACGAAGCCTCTTTAAGTTGCCCTCGCATGTCCTCCCTCATATGAAGTCCTGAGTCTTTCCCTTGCAGCATGGATGAAAACGTAAAACGTTTCAATGGAGGGCAGAGGGGCATTTTGGAACAACTGAGCCGTTGCAAATTGAGTGATTGATTAATGATCAACAGTAAAAAAAAAAAACAACAAAAAAAAACAAATAATTTTAACTGATTCATTTCTGGAGTGAACAAAAGAGTGAGTATTGCGGCGGGTGCTGCAACATGAAAGCACACAATCTTGATACAATGGTCTTTTGATCGGCTGTGGATGCAGGAAGTCACATGGTCTCTGACATGTGACAGCACAGGCTGAGAATAACATTCTACAGAGAGGTCAGCAAAGCAATCTTTTGGTTACTCCACCACAATTAGAAAATGAGCTTCGGGACCACACATACTGTATAGGGACTTTAGTTTGGGGCGAGTGTTTTAGTTTTTAAGGAGCCTGAAGCTTTTCAGCTGCTGCAGCCCGTTTGTAATCCGATCTGTAATTTGTGAATAAACAACACTTATGACAGACCATTGGGGAAGGGAAGGGCTATTTACGTCTGTATTTTTTCAATGTTTCACTGCTTGTCTGTACCTTTCCTGAATCCGACACAACCAAAGTCAGTCTCGTCATCCCTCTTTCTGCAGCTGAGCTCAAACATGTTGACGGACACGGTGGCACGGATCTCCTGCTGGGCCAAACGCATGCGGTCGTAGAAGACCTTAAAGAACCTCTCCGACTTCTTCTGCTTGTATAGTTGACTGTAGAAGGAATCCTAGGGGCGGCGGACAGATTTGCATTTCAAATGATTGTCACTCTCGCAGCGAAAATGGATGATCGAGTCGATGCCAATCACCTGGATCTGTGTATTTCCGCCTTGCAGAAGGGCGATCCCCAAAAGAACACTCTCCTCAAACACTTGGTCATTCTTAGTGTTGACAATAAGGTCAATCACTAGCTCAGATGCCCCAACGCTGTCCAGCTGACACTGGATCTCCATTACGCTACTGCATGGCTTGTCAAAGTCCGCTGTGAGCGAACCTCCTGCAGACACCAATCATACATTTCGGCCATGTCAATAGAAATCCTTCAAAGCGGTTGGACACACGCGTAATTGAAACTTGCACAGTCACGTTAGTGGTCTATTCCAAAAAGTTTTTGCTCTGCTTTGTGAACTTGGCTCATTTTCTACACGGTACCTCCAAATGTTGGCTTGGGAAAACAAGCATGGGAGCTGTTTCCACTCCCGCTCTCGGACTTCGAAATCAGTCTTTGATTTCCAAAGTAGCGAGTGAGGAGAATCTCTCTCAACTCCTTTCCCTGAATGGAATGAAAACATACAGTTAAAACCACATAATCCTTCTTTCAAATGTAGGCTGAATATATTTTAAAGCAGTTTTTCCCCCCTAGAACTATCAAGATTATGAAAATGAAATAAATGACAGTATGTTTGTAGACATATTTACTATTTGTCAAGTAAGAGTCATCTCTCAATTCCCAAAATGTGTTCTTTTCTGTAGGAGAGTGATTGCATCATTAAAAACAAGACTTACAGCCCAAAAATTTAAAAGACAACCTGAGGAAGGAAAAAAACTGAAAAAAAACCCTGAAACGTGCGATAGAGGTTGTAGGTTCCTTATAGTTATAAATCGGATCATCTGACAGCTTAAATCTAGTGCTACATGAGAAACATCACAGATTAACATGCTGACCGACCGGTTGCATAATTGCATCCCCAATGCTAATACTGCACTAACATTGTCAAGGATACCATAAAGTGTTTCAACTGCACACAGAAGCCAATAAGGCAGTGTCATGCCTCACCAACGTGGTTGGTTAGGTGCAGTCCAGCAGAAGACGTGGACGTGCACATGCAGCTGATGCTCTCTGTGTCAGTAAACATCTCATCTGCAGTCAGTGGAGACACTTGTCTGCCTGCACTGTCTGGCTGGCTGAGTATTCACACAAACACCAGCACGCACGCACGCACGCACGCACACACACACACACACACACATCCTTCTTGAACTAAAGTTGAGAATCCACTGAGCCCTCCTCATTTCCATGCAGCAATGCACAGACACAGTCTGTGTGTGACTACAAGAAAGACATGACAAACTCATCCCAACGCACACTTTCTAACTTATTGCAGCTAGAGTCATGTTTGACTCAAAGCTCCCTCTTTTTACCGGGACGTGTTAGTTTTATATAAATTGAAAAAGAAAAGTATGACTGAGAAGAAACTCTCTGGGGGTTTCACTTGTTTTCTCTCCTAATGTTGCTGCAGTCTGCTGGCTCGCTCCGCAGAGAGAGAGAGAGAGAGAGAGAGAGAGAGAGAGAGAGAGAGAGAGAGAGAGAGAGAGAGAGAGAGAGAGAGAGGGAGAGC